AGGTGGACCTCGTCTGCACTTCCCAGGCCGAGTTCTGTGGTCAGGGATGCAGCAAGTGGATTTGTCGAGGATACAGCTACAAAGGGAAAGAGATGGCTGCCAGAAGCATCGTACTTCTTGTGGATCGATGCAAGGGATGCAATGGCGGTGGTTGCAGCTTCGGAAGACTCGTCCTTGGGAAGCAGTGCCAGGATACAGGTCTTGCTCTGCTCGGTCAAGCACATTGATTGAAGCTCGGCAGCTTCTGCAACCAGAGGTATAGTCGGCTTGGCCTCTTCGACTGGAATTTCGATCGGGTTGGGTGTATCTCCATCCTTGACATTCGGATCAGGCGACTCAGTGGGCACGACCGGCTCCTCGACAGTCTCGTCTGTGGCTGAGGCGGCGGCTGAAGATGAATCTGCGGACTTGTGTGAAGCTGAGGCCTTTGCAAACTTGCTGGAAGACTTGGACTCTTTCTTGGTATCCTTCTTAGCTTTGGACTTCTTCTCCTTGGCAGGTGGACAATCGGGGTTAGGTGGGGCGACCTGAGAGAGGAATTCGACCATCGCTGCTTTGTCAGCCTTGCCTTGGTGCTTGATAGGTGTGTCGGAGCCCGCGGGAATCAAGACCAAGCTTGGGAAGTCGGTGATTCCATATTTTTCCACTGCCGCCTTTTCCGACTTTTTTATTTGCGCAACCGAAACGACTCCAGCGAAGTCAATCGCTAGAGCGCGCAGTGTGGCGCTGACGATGCCCTTCTCACTGAACAGAATGGCCTTGGCAGTGTCCTTGTTTCCTTGTAGCCACTCGTCGAGGTTCTTGTCGTTGACCCTCTTCACGATATTGGGGACCTTGTCCTTGACAGCGTCCACGATGCCCTTGGCCGAACGAGGTCCTTGGTAGTCCTCCACCGTAGGCTTTCCAGGCTTCTTGCCGGGTCGAACAATCTTAAGGGTGGGGAAGCCCTGAACGCCCATCTTCCCGCAGAAGGGTTTGTTCATCTCTTCATCGCAGTTGACGGCGGCGACTTTGGCGATGCCGGCGAGAGATTTGGCGGCCGTCTCGTACGCGGGCTTGAGGTTCTTGCAGTGGCCGCACCATGGCGCGTAGAATCTGAGAGGTGTGAGAAGAGGGGATGACGACGAACGAGGACGGCTTACTCGACAATAGACGTGTAGTTGGACTTTGCAATTACTCTGTCATAGTCCATGCCAGTGATCTGAACGACGGCGCTGTTCTTGGAGTACATGCTCTCGGCGTGGGCATTGAGGGCCAGCGCGGCCGTAGCGGCAAACAGCGTGGTTGCGCGGACCATGGTTGGTGTGTGTTGTGGGTGAAGTGGAGAATAAGCAGAGGTGCAGCTGCTGCAGTGGATATAGCCTTACATGGCGTAGTTGCCAGGTTGGCCTTTTCACTCACTTGTAACAGCTTGCCATAAGTTACATGGCCAAAGCTGAGATGCGGGGAGACAGGGATCAGTCCGGACTAGCGCCTATGACCGCATGCCCGCTGTAGCTGCCTGCACCTTACTGCGTCTATCCACAGACTAAACACCACATGCGATACGCGTCTTAGCACACACAAGATACCACAGCAATGGCCGACACAGTACCGGCAAAGCTCAGGAGCTTGCAGCTCGCGTCCTTTGCGAAGCGCGCCGCTCAGCTTGAGAAGTTCAAGCCCATCATCACCTACTGGTGTGAGTACCCTCGCGCCTGCCAATACAAGAGACGTATACTAAAGCTGCACAGTGCGCTTCTACATAGTCCAAAGAATCATCGCCGGTGGACTCCACTCGGCTGATCAGGAATGTACCGCCTACACGACCGATCTCATGGAGAAGCTGGAGCAAGCAAAGGCCGAGAACCCGAACGAGGATGCTTTGCTAGATGACACGGTTGCGAGCGCATACTGTGAACAGTTCGCTCTACAGACTCTCGCCAAGGCAGAGAGGGAGATGGCCGAGAACAGGGTCAATGGGTGCGTACCAAACACGTAGTTCCATTGCCGACCCTCACTTCTAACACCACTTGCAGGCAGACCGCTGATACCCTCCTCGCGGCATCGACCTTCCTCGAGGTCATGTCTGTATGGAAGAATAATGACCCCGAAATCACTTCCAAGACCAAGTTCGCCAAATACCATGCGCTGCGCATCGTCAAGGCCATCAAGGCCAACGAGGACCCGAACGCGACGAACCCCAGACAAGAAGCACCACAACAGCCCATGTCGCCGTCTGCGCTGGATCCAAATGACCCAGAAGTACGAAGCATAAACCAAGGCGCGCCACCAGAGAACCCATACCAACCATACGTCGAGACGGTGCCCAATACTACCCAGCCATCGCCCAGTCTGTCTGCGCGCCAAGTGTCGCCGCCAGCTCCCAATCTCCCTTCCGCGCCTACGGGCTACAACCAATCATCGCACAACGATGTCTCGCCCATGTCACAATCAGCAACCTCGAGGCAGGGCTCCGTCGTCTCAATCGGCGGCGGATACTTTCCAAAGACCGACCCTCCTACCTTCACATCAGAGACGACAGCGCCCGGGCTACCTACCGCGCCCATGGACATCGACCCTATGACATCTTCCTTACCAAATAGCCCTGCACCACAAGTTCCAGACGCGTCAGATCCTGCAAGCTTCTACCAGAACCCTACGTCTCCTCCACCCCAAGCCCCCGAGCAACCACCTCAAAACCCATACCAATCACCTCCACCACCCCAAGTGCCTCAAAAGCCACAGAGACTATCCTCAAGCTTCACAGTCACTCCACAACAATCTCAAAACGTTTTTACGTCGCCCGTGGTGTCTCAGCAACAGTACCAACAACAAAACGTTTCCTCGCAGCCTCCTCAGCAACAATACTCGTCGACATCCCACCAAAATCCGTACGCCCAAGCACCAGGACCTCCTCCACAGCAGCAGCTGTCATCGCAGGGTCCGTTCAGAGACGACGAAGACTCCATCATGGCAGCTACAAAGCATGCGAAATGGGCTATTTCAGCGTTGAATTTTGAAGACTCTACAACGGCTGTCAAGGAATTGAGGGCGGCGCTGCAGGCTTTGGGTGCAGCTTGAGTAGATTGGAGGGGTCGCATAATCCCAGGAGCAACTTCTTGGTTCGAGGTAGGATGATTACATTGCAGCTCCTTGTTTCCAACATCATTACCCCACGTGTCTGTAGGTGTCCAGCTACTACTTTAGGTCTCCTGGGTGGACACCAAAAGTTCTGTATTATGACTGGATGTCGTGTTGGAAGTGTTGTTGATTGTGGGTGTAGAGAGAGCAACATATACGACCTCTCTTATACAATGTTCGCTGTATACCCATGCTTTGTACATAGATGCGCCAAAGATGCGTCACTCGTCAATATAAATCTCTTTAGTTGGCTACAATGGTGTGAGACTTGATCTTACTTCTTCAAGGCGAAACCATGTAGTTTTCAGGCTCCATGTAACTTTCCTCAGGGGCAGAAGTGAAGAAAGAGCCATCTCATGTTGTTATTGGTATCTGCCACAACCTCTGGCGTACTACCTATATAGCTAAGTCCTTCATAGCATTCAATCCATCACTCTTATACTCCAACAAGAAGCTTCTCTCCACCCTACCCAGCGCCAAGTCGTCGTCCTCCCTGAGGCTGTCTTTACTTGTACCCTCTGGTCACTTCCCCGGCGCGACAAGTGGTATGGCTTCCAAGGCATCTGCCCATAGTCTCGTTCAGCTTTTGAATATAATAGCTGCTGCTCCCACTGCCCCCTCGTCGACTTCGTTGAGGGCGACCTCGACCTCACACCAGAGCAGCTTGAAGAGATTAAAATAGCAACAAGGGCCAAGGCCAAGGCTTACGCAGCCTCATACGTTCAAGAAAAGAGAGCAAATCCTACAGAGAAATGGAAAGCCAGTCAAAAGGCTCCCAACGCAAGGGCATATCCTCAAACCCGCACCAATCAAGTCAAGGCGATAGAAGAAAAGTCCTACTGCAGCTCTGTCTGTGACGTCGCCTCTACCGACGCTGCTGCACAGAAGATCCACAACGCCACCCCTCGACATATCTGGTGGTCAACAAAAGGACGTGGCTCTTGGTGCGAACCCTGCGGCAAAGGTTTCAGATACCCTTCCGACGTTGCCGCCAATGAGAAACGACCTTGTCACATCGAGAAGGTGGCTAGCATGTCCAGTTTTCTGTACTTGGCGATTTGGTATGTGGAAGGATGAGGGAGAGCAATTTTTTGGTTTGCTGTATACTTATGCTTTTTGTATAGATGCGTCAGTCGTCAATATAACTCTCAGTTGGCTACAATGGTGTGGACAATGCAGTCTCCCGCATATATATAGTGATGTATCCAGTAACACTCTTGGACATAAGGCTATCACAGCTTGACCTTAGTTCTTCCAGGCACATACCGAAGTGAGAATACCAGGGTGGTCTCAGTTGTAATCTACTGCGAAGATGGAAACCATGTTGATTCCAGGGTCCATTGAACATTTCTCAAGGGCAGAACCATGGCAAAGATTCGACGCCGATACTGCGGCTGGATGGCGAGAGTCGCTCTGCCGGACGACTGCCGTAGTAATGCATGCTCCGGAATATTTTGTTCAGCACGCCGGACATATACCGACGTGTGTTTCTTAGGCAGAGGAGTGTAATTACCTGCGATAGACACAACTCGGTTTCCAAACTCTCCCTGGGGTTACCAGATCTTGGCTGCGGGGCACATTCTCTGAATATACGGTCTGGTCTTTCTTTTCTCACTCAGCGGGCCGAGGCCTGACGATGATATTGGTGGGCGCACTTTTTCATTCAGTATCGATAAGCGCCGCGTTGGGTTGGTTAACCGAGTCTGCCTAGCGTCATTCGCCGACACTACGAGACATCCCTGCCAGGCCAATTTTTCTCTGATCGCTCGCCTTTAAGCAAGCGCGAAAAAGATTCCCAACCCTCTTTTTCACCTTCTCTCCAACACCTTCCTGCTCTTCAATTTTTTCAGGTTGTTCCTTCCACACATACCGCAATCATGAGCGACGAAGTCTACGAGGGTGCCATCGGCATCGATCTTGGTGCGTAATATTCGCGAATTACCCCACAGTGGGATGTGTTGTGGGCTAACAATATCGCAGGCACCACCTACTCTTGCGTTGCCAACTACGAGGGCACCAATGTCGAGATCAGTATGCGCCCGCCAATTCCATTGCGAGAAGATCAATGTCTAACAATGTTTGCCTACAGTCGCCAACGAGCAGGGTAGCTTCACCACTCCCTCGTTCGTGTCCTTCACCAGCGAGGAGCGTTTGATCGGTGAGGCGGCCAAGAACCAGGCTGCTATGAACCCCGAGAACACCGTCTTCGATGTCAAGTGAGTGTCTCCGCACCTTTTTTTTTTGCGCACGCGCACGATCAGCAGGCTGACTTTTGTAGGCGTCTCATTGGTCGCCGATTCGAAGACGAGACCGTCACAAAGGACATCAAGTCATGGCCATTCAAGGTCGTTGACCAGGGCGGCAGCCCTCTCGTCGAGGTTGAGTACCTCGGTGAGACCAAGCAGTTCTCTCCCCAGGAGATCTCTGCCATGGTTCTCGTCAAGGTAAGATCTGCGCACACATTTCGCATGGCGGGGCAGCGACTAACAAAATCAACAGATGAAGGAGGTCGCTGAGACCAAGCTCGGCAAGAAGGTCGAGAAGGCCGTCATCACCGTCCCCGCCTACTTCAACGACAACCAGCGTCAAGCCACCAAGGACGCCGGTGCCATTGCTGGCCTCAACGTTCTCCGTATCATCAACGAGCCCACCGCCGCCGCTATCGCCTACGGTCTCGGTTCCGGAAAGTCTGACAAGGAGAGGAACGTCCTCATCTACGATCTTGGTGGTGGTACTTTCGATGTCTCTCTTCTTCACATCCAGGGTGGTGTTTTCACCGTCAAGGCTACTGCTGGAGACACCCACTTGGGTGGTCAGGACTTCGACACTAACCTCCTTGACCACTTCAAGAAGGAGTTCACCAAGAAGACTAAGAAGGGTAGGCATAACCCCGCAGGATTCGCGATAGTGTTGTTTGCAGAATACTAACATTTCAACAGACATCAGCGGTGACGCCCGTGCCCTTCGTCGTCTCCGGACTGCTTGCGAGCGTGCCAAGCGTACTCTCTCCAACGCCACTCAGACCACTGTTGAGATCGACTCGCTGTTCGACGGTGAGGACTTCAACGCCAACATCACCCGTGCTCGTTTCGAGGACTTGAACCAGAAGGCCTTCGCTGGCACTCTGGACCCCGTTGCCCAGGTTCTCAAGGACGCCGCCATTGCCAAGGACAAGGTTGACGAGATCGTCCTTGTTGGTGGTTCCACCCGTATCCCCAAGATCCAGAAGCTCCTCAGCGACTACTTCAACGGCAAGAAGCTCGAGAAGAGCATCAACCCCGATGAGGCCGTTGCCTACGGTGCTGCCGTCCAGGCCGGTATCCTTTCCGGAAAGGCTACCTCCGCCGACACCGCTGACCTTCTCCTCCTCGATGTCGTTCCCCTCTCCCTTGGTGTAGCCATGGAGGGTAACATCTTCGCCCCCGTCGTTCCCCGTGGTCAGACCGTCCCTGTATGTATCACCATCGCTTTATGATCTGACCTTTGCTAACTTTGATGAAAAGACTATCAAGAAAAGGTGAAGTGTTCTAACTTTTCTTTGTTCATTCTGTTCTACCTGTATACCCCTCTTCATGTATCCTGTTGTTCTTTCTGCCATGGTTCGTCGTCGCTCCCTTCCCTGATGTGGGTGAGGGGAGCACCTGCCAGCTTTGAGGGCCTTCTTCTCTTCGAGCACCTCGAAGCTGGCAGGAGCCCTGGACACTGTTTACTTGGACCCGGCTCTGGACCTGCATTTAAAGCCGCCTTCGGCTTTCTGCCTTGCTTGCATCCCAACCTCACTGCAACTGGCACATCCACTCTCATTTCACGGTGGTTGAGTACACACGATCGTGTCACACGATTCTCGACCACCAGCACTCTCTCTCTCTCATTAGGTGAGACGGAAACCAGTTTTCAGCCGCTCCCTCACGGTCTGATACCGCCACTGGCGATATCGAGGTCGTCGATTGACGGTATTTTGAGACCACTCTTCGTATCACACGATCCTCACCCACCACCACAATCTCTCGCCAGGTGGGAGGAAAGTACTTTCCGGGTATCATCCCGTCGCCATCACACTCTCTCACCGACTAATACCGCCTATTACCACTACTGGCGGTATCGAGGTCGTCGATAAGCATGGCCACCAACACCGACCATGCCTTGCTTGAGGCCATTGTTGCCCTTATCTGGGCCTGTCTGCTTGTGCCTGCTCCCGGCAAGAACGGTCTTTTTGCTGATTTTTTCTTCGACAAGGCAGTGCTACTCAACATAGCTGCATCTGCCTCACTATCCTTTTGCCCTGGACTCCTCGAAGCTGCACAAGCCGCTACCCCACCTTCATTAGACTTCTTCCGCAATACGTCTTCTGATGGTGTTGGTCGATGGGGTGTGTACTGCCTTGTGCTGGAAAAGCCTGGTCACATACCTCTGGTTTATATCGGATCAGGCACCAAGGCGAAGACAGGTCTTCGAGCTCGCTGGCAACAGTATGAGCAGCTCAAATACCTCAACCTATGGCCCAGGTGGGTACTCAAAGCTCACCGCGACGGTTACAGGATAGTCCACAAGGGATGGTTGGTGTCGGCTCCCATACCTGTCGCTGTCAACGTCCCTGCTTTTCGTCTGCTTTTCATCGCAATGGAAGCTACATTTGCTTTCCTACTCTGGACTATGAAGTCAAGCACGAAGGACTATCATATGGGGTCTTGCTGCCCATGGCCTCGCCAAAAAGGACTTTTCGGCTATGGCGGTCTATGCAATCACAACCCTCTCACCGAAAGTGTGGTTGGTAACTTCGATCTTACCGCCCAGCAACTCACAGCTCTTGACGTCGCTAATCGTGAGCGCCGTAACGCCCTCTCTGTCGACTACCGTGTGAAGGCTATGGCTACCGACCCAGCACGTCGCCTTGGACTGGAGCGCGAGTATTCCGAGACACATCGAAACAAGCATCGTGAAGCATACAATGCTCGTTTGCGTGCCTTCGCTGCCGCTAATCCAGCTCGGCACAAGGCAAGGCAAGCGCGTTCGCGTGCTAACATCATCGCCTCTGGCAAGCACCGTTGTCACACCTGTCCAAAGAACTGCGCCAGTCCATCCGAACTTCGAACTCACAACCTGAGCAAGAAGCATCTGGATCACTTGGCCGCCACCACATCATCGTCACCGTCTAATACTGTCTAATACCGCCACTGGCGATACCACTGAATTCATGGTCTATCCGCAACTCTCTGGCATGTCTCACCGGTCTCCACTACACGTCGTCTCGGAAACTAGTTTCCGGATCACCCAAATCGAGTGACTCGATTTGCTACGCATAGTACCTGTTATCTGGCTCGACATTTCATGGCTTTCACTTCTACTGTTTCATTATGTTGCTACCATCGCATGTTCTCTATGTCAGCTACCATCGACAGTTACTAACAGTTACACAGGACATTCACTACCGTTGCGGGTGAGTCCAAATCCAAAATCCCCTTTTGATCTTCTCATGCTAACTTATGACAGACAACCAGCAGACTGTTGTATGTATACTCAGCACCGCTTTGGAACCATTCATACTAACCCATGCTAGCAATTCCCCGTCTTCCAGGGTGAGCGTGTCAACTGCGAGGACAACACCTCTCTCGGAGAGTTCACTCTCGCACCCATCCCTCCTATGCGTGCTGGTGAGGCCGTCCTTGAGGTCGTCTTCGAGGTCGACGTCAACGGTATCCTCAAGGTCACCGCTACCGAGAAGACCTCTGGCCGCAGCGCCAACATCACCATCTCCAACGCCGTCGGAAAGCTCTCATCTGCTGACATCGAGAACATGATCAACGACGCGCAGAAGTTCAAGTCCAGCGACGAGGCCTTCTCCAAGAAGTTCGAGTCAAGGCAACAGCTTGAGTCTTACATCTCCCGTGTTGAGGAGATGATCTCCGACCCCACCACATCCATCCGCCTCAAGCGTGGCCAGAAGGAGAAGATCGAGTCTGCTCTCTCCGACGCCATGGCTCAGCTCGAGGTTGAGGATGCCCCCGCTGATGACCTGAAGAAGAAGGAGCTTGCCCTCAAGCGCACTGTCACCAAGGCTTTCTCCACCCGATAAGCGCATCTCACATTAGCGGCGCCACGAGGGCGTGCAGGAAGGAAGGAAGGGCGCACGTGCAGGATACCCAGACTGCGAGCTGCGAACGGAGTTTCATCTATTGCGGCATTTAACGATAGACATGGTGTGTTTGGTTCCTTATCTTTCATGGGTTCCCGGTATTCAGGAACGCGGAAAAGTCTTCTTTGTACTTTCACGACGATGCCTGACGAAACGATCGTAATGGATGTTCTGCAAAAGTATGCCTAGCGGTCAATGTCTCTTATGTACCTCACCAAAGTAGATACATGGAGAGAAAGGAAAGGAAATTGAAATGACTTCACAAAATACATCTCTGCCATGCTTCTTGTTGTGAATGCTACCGCGATGTGTTTGCTTGCGATAGGTGTTGTGATGAGCCATGAATGCCTTCAGGCTATACTACAGTCGATGGATCAAGGATAACATCCGGTCGCTCCTACCAATGTCCTTGTTGGCATGCATGCTAGCGAAAACTTATGAAAGTATGGGGCCCGGTATTCCTGAGTAGTACCGCTCGAGAGCAAAACATGTTCTAAAGGTATTCAGTGGATCTTACATCGTGCTTGGTGAAGAACAAAGTGCAGCGAATACCTCCAGGGTGCCTTATCGTGGATCCGTCAAGCTGAACATTCGGCTTCTCTAGCTGGGATCTTCGCTAGCAATGCCCCGCTGATGTCTACGCTGGTTGAATACTGGGCATGCTTCGGTTCTTGGTCTGATGTATTAGCAGTACTGGTGGTCATCTCATCACTCTAGTAGCCTGATTTGAGGAACGACTTTGTATTCTAACAAGCTATCTCCATAGACCTCGTCCGCCAAGAGAAATATCTAAGACTGAATAATTTTTCGTTGCTCGTTGATATTGGAAACAAAGATGGGAAGGCGAGTACATCCGATGAACGAACAAAAGAGAACGCTGCGGTGCTGTTACAAAACGATACCAATCTCCCCTCAACTGCTGTCAGAAGCATCCTCTTGCCCTGATTCGGCGCGAGGCTCTTTCTTTGACTTTCCTTTGCTCTTCTTCGTGTCTTTCTTAGGTGCCTTGCGCTTCTTGCGACTCTTCTCGGACTCAGTATCACTCGATTCGGTTTCTTTCTCACTGTCAGACAAAGAATCATCTGAGGCAGAGTCTGACAGTCGAGACTTCTTTGCCTTGGACTTGGCTTTCCTCTTCTCTTTTTCCCTCTTGGAGTGCTTGCGCTTGGTGCGTTCACTGTCAGAACTAGCGCTATCTGAGCTACTGTCCTCGCTGCGATCGCGACGTCTGCTTTGTTTACTAGTTCTATGGCCGCGGTCCGTATCATTTTCTAGGCCTTCTCGCTTCGCGATCATTGCAAACATGTCAGCATACTGATCTTCGCCCTCTCTGAAGACCTCGGCGAAGTAGTCATCGAAATGGTTGCTGGTTTCGGCGACTTGCTTGAAATGACTAGCCTTAAGCTTTGGCCGTGTCAAATTGTTATCTGTGTTGTTGCTAAAGTCCCAGTTTGCCAGTGTAAGAGCCGTTTGGAATGCATTTTTGATCTGTCATCCATTCCAACGTCGCGATGTCTTCTTCTCGTTGGCTCTCCAGTGCTTTTTGTAAAACCACTGGATTCCTGCTGCATCGATTTCAACTTCGACATCCCTAGCCTCTTTGATGCGCCTAAGGTTCATTTCCCAAATCTCGGAGGTCTCATCCTTGCCAAACTTTGGATAGTAGAGGCTAACGTGGATACGCGAACGAAACGCTTCGTCGAATGAGCCGACATGATTGGTAGTAAGCATTAGTACTCCAGAGTGATACTCGAAGACTCTAAGGAATACTGTTCACATCGTTAGTGTTGACATCGTTCCTACTGATCATAATCTCCTTACCAGAAACAAGTGCGTTTTGCTTGAGCTGATCTTCTGATCGTCTGGCTAGGAACACGTCGGCTTCATCCAGCAGAAGCACGCATCCCCACTGGGATGCAAGTCTAAAATATTCTTCGAGGCGCTCTTCAACGGTGTTCGTTTCAACCCCAAGATCCCCATATGTAATGGGGAACAATGGCCTTCCAAGATAAAAAGCTGACGGTTCACGAGTAAATATGATGGTATCATTCTTAAAGACAGCCTACTATTTTGCCCCGCCACCATTTTGGCCAACGCCTACAAGTATAACATACAGTAAAGAGGCTATAGCCAGCCCTTTAGACATAGTTGGAAAACAGTGGCGTACAAGGTACTACCTTACTTGGAAGGAGATCCAGGCTTGATGTTTTCGGATCCAGGAGCAGGTCGAATAGCCAGGGTGGCGCTTTGCTGTGTTGCCTGTGCAACCTGTGCTAGTTCCAGCAATCTGTTTCCGCTCCTGACCAAACCACCAAATCGGTATGCCGGATCATCTCGCAACATAGCCCAAACCTCTCTGAACTCAAGGAGACTTGAATCCATGTCAAATACTCCTGCAAACTCGACTTTGAGTTTCAGTAAGTTTGAAGGCATACCATTTGACAGCCACAGCTGCAGCTGTCGGACTGTCGCTGGCGTGATCTTATCTTCTATGTGCGCTGTGATGATCACCCTTGGCTCTTCGTTTTCCTCTCTACCCGTAATAGGGGGAGGAGTTGAAAACTTTCTCAGTTTGCGGAGCACGATCGGGAGGTCGGTGCTATTACTAGGTAAGAATCCAGGCGTAGCGATGAGCCCGTGTTTCTTCTTGTTCCGTACGAGCTCGCTGAAGATAGAAACGGTAGTCCACGGCTGGCCGTTACAGACCTTCAGCTGATTAATGAGAGCCTTTGTGAAACTAACAGCAACTTTGTCGGACGCAATTTTTGTCGCAGAACATGCCGTCAAGAATTCGGTCTCAAAGGACCTGAACGCTTCTCCAGCATGACAGCAGTCGAGAATTTGAAGAACATCGCTCTGGAAACCAGCTAGGGGAGCAGTTCCAACCTTCCAGAAAAACTTGGGACCCTTGTTATCCCAGCTGCCTCTGATTAATCATTAGTATCTTCTCAAAGTAACAATAGGAAAGGACATAACTTACGAAACCTCAAGTTGCTCCTCGCCATAGTGGTTTACGCTGGTACCGTGGCCAGAGTACACAATTATTACCAGATTACCGGCAAAAGAGTGTGTCTTGGATATGTCCATCAGTATCGCGTTCATCTCCAGTGAGACACTCGCATACGACCGGTCCTTTCCGAGTACGGCGTACCTAACCTCATAATGGTAGATGTATCCAAAAACGTTTCCAAGCTCTTTCTCCAGGGCTGGCACGCCAATGATGTCGTTGTTGACGAAGTGGATGAACTGTACTACCACCTTCTTATATCCAGAAGCATCAGGGGCCGCTCGCAAAAGGAAGGCTCGTTCGACGGAATTCACAATATCATCCTGAAAGGTCTTGATCTTAATGTCGTGCTGTTCCTGTGTAGATATGGATCTCAGGTTGGAAGGCATGACGAGTTCGGAAAGTTTTGGGATAGGCAGATCATGAATATGGAAAGTTAAGAGAAACTTTTTGGGAATTGACGAAAAGGCTGGGGAATAGGAGTGTTGAGAAATATAACCCTGGTTACGTTCGTTAAATATTCGTGTGAACCATGGGAACTGGGGACTTTGATTTTGGACTGCACCCTCGCTTCACGTCGAAAAACATTGCATCGCCTCTCATGACCGTCTTTGCGAGAACACCCTTTCTCGGACTCTCTTTCTCAATATTTCTTTGGTGAAAATCATGTTGGCATCACCGTTTTCGAATGCGTTGATTAATGTCTCGAACCCTATTGTAATTTCTCCTAACGAGTACCGAAACACGGCATCGCGCATTCCATGACTGGAAAGCAAGATACGAAATACCACACAAGAACGAGTCACAATATGCTCATGTGCGATGTTAGCGTCGGGATGCGATACCTAGGACCAAAATCTTGTCAAGAGGACATCCATGATATCCGTCCCCCATAATTACCTATCAAAAGAGCTCGATCGGCTCCGACACTTAGAAGACTTTGTAACGAAGCTGAACGAAGCTGCCTTATTCTGCTCGACTACAAAGAAGTTGTGATTCAGTCCAACATTCGGAAGAACCTTCGTTGCGCATACTAACTACCCAAACCTGCGCAAGACCGCATCATCGCCATGATATGACACCAGAAAGTCTTATCGTGGCTAGGAAATACCAAGTCTCCAGTCCTCTTCTTGAACGGACATTGTAACTCACCGAGAGCCATGGCTCAAAGTCCAACATCATTCTTGTGCGCCAAGTTGGCTTCCGCCATACAGTCTAGCAGCGAAGTGTCGAAAGAGCCGTCTTTGCATCCGCCTGTGGAGACTATCGCGATTTCTTTCTGTTGTGCTGAACACCTCGATCGCAAAGATCCTCATCAAGGCGCACAAGGCATTATTAGAAGTCTTATAGCCCAACTCTTGGTTTACTATAACAAATTCGACAGCCGTCTCATCAAACAGCTCCTCAAGTCCGATCTAGATCATCTCAAACCCTTGTGTGCCACCCTGAAAATTATGATCAACGAACTTCCTGAGGAAGTTGCACTGACCTGCATCATTAATGCTATCACGATACATGAGGACAGTAAGGCACGCTGCAAGAAAGTAGATTCTGTTCTCGACACTCTGATTGAGATTGCAGAATCAGACGATGAACTGAAATGTGCCTTCAAACTCTTGGTCACGTCGCCAAGGGTGTCCAGAAGGTATAGCGCGAGAACTGGCGGTAAGGCATGTGCGACTGTGCTCATGATGCCGGAAAAGGTGGCTTCTCAAGGAGCTTTTACGAAGACAAAGTGGGGCGATAATATGCAAGCTGGTCAAAATGGGTACACTGGTTGAAGACGATCAGTCGACGCATAGGTAAACAAACATTAGAATTTCAGGGGAAGAGAACGGTGACCCATGGTAGGACAAAGCTTCAACCCAACGGTCCGCGAATTGCATTCGTTATTGCGCCTTGACCGTGCTTCCTAAATTATGCCTTAACGATATCCTTGGAGCGGTTTTCCAAGCACTGTTGCACTGCCGGCTGTTACAATCCACCCTCACGAGCGAAAGGTAACATCGTCTTGTGATCTTCCATCGTGTTTAACTGAACGTGTCTGTGTCCTAATGCGAATGTTTAGGCATATCCTCGGCATGATAGTTTTCTGGAGAGGACATTACTGTATCTATTTTGAGCAATGCGCCGGTCCAGGCCGTCACCAATCATAGCTCGAAAGTGGATCGCGCGTTACCCCTTTCGGCCACTTGACATGAGCTTCGGGTAAATACCGTGGCAATCAACGTCATTTCCACCCAAACCCTTCCAGAAGGTCATGGGTGGGGGGCGCGCCACAGCCGGTGCTGGCCGTTTCGGGGTCACAAAACTGGGGATACGATATTTAGCCTCGTGTTCCGACTGGATGAAGTCATAGCGTTGCACTTTGGTCGTTGGCGCCGAGTGTGGGCACTGTCCAGCCTCACTGAGGACAAGCTTTGATCATGAAATGATGTAGGACAAGGTGAGCAAATACGAGAAAAGATTTGGGTATATGAGAGATGGAATGCTGCTCTCTCTCTAGGCTTCCATCCTAACATCAACTCCTCAACTCTACACTAATACTTCATCACTACAACTACTACTTCCACACTCCAACAACACCACCTTCAAATCATCAACATGAAGTTCACCGCCGCCGTCGCTGCTGCCTCCATGGCCGCCATCTCCTCCGCCCTTCCCCAGGCCTCTTCTCCCTTCCCTCGCCCTGAAGCCGGCGACGTTTTCCGTCTGATGTCTCTGCGCTCCGCCACTCCCATCCAGTACGGCAACGTCCAGGCCAAGGATGGCGGCCTCGTCATTAACTCGCCCGACGAGAACAACAAGACTTGCATCATCAATGGCGACCGCGACAACACCACCAGCGGCATCAACTACGCCTCATTCTCGCTCGACCAGGAGGACGGCAGCGTCTACATCTACACCTTCAACCCCCCTCTCCAGCTATACGTCGACCGCAGCGGTATGGGCCAGGGCAATGTCCGCTACTCCACTGGTGTTCAGCCCATCGGCAAGAACCAAGAGCGCGGCCCCTTCAAGATCAACGACGACGGTGACCTCGTCTTCGCTGCTGGTGGTCTTACCGGCGACGTCGGCTTCCAGGCTTGCCCCGGCGCTGTTGGCGGAGGCTGGAATATCTGGCTCTCTGGTGTCGACAAGCCTGCTGGTTCTGAGGGATGCACTCCCTTCACCATGAAGGCGCTCAAGGAAGACGAGCCCAAGAAGTGCCTCTACTCTTCTGCTCCTGCTTAGATGCTGAGCCTACAGAGATTTTTGGAGTGTACATAATGATGGTCTCGAAGACGGGACTTGTTTTCTAATGTGTATATATCATGGCATTTGAGCGTCTGCATAGCCTTTTGTTTATCATTTGCTAGAACTGATAATGACAATATTTATCTTTACATTGCGTTCCTTCTTGCTGAACCTACTGATCTGTAACCAGTGTAAGGGGCTACCTAGGTAGAGTTGCCCGACTTACACTGAATTGTTTCGCAACTTCGCGGTTCAAGAAAGCTGTGCCGCCTTCACGCGACTCAATGGCTTTACTTGCAGCCTCAATGGGGTCTATATTGGTGTAGTCATGTCGCGTAGAAGTTGTGAGGATGCATGTGTTCTGATGGTGGGGTCGTGAACCGGCTCGTTGGGCAGGCACTCTACTAAGCCCATCTTTTACCTTCCCTCGTCTGTCCGCCATGCCCAATCTTAAGATCAACCACCATCACCTGCTACCTGGAATATTTCCCTCGAACCTTTCAAGAGCGATGAGGACACGTTCTTTGCAGGTTTACCCATGTTTAAACTCGCGAGGTCGCTCTTCCGAAGGCAACCATGGCCCCAACTCAAATTTCCGACATCTGGTTTCGAAGTCGTCAGCGACGCGGTAACGTTTGAAGAAGAGCAGCTTGAGGAGTTCCACAGGGGTGTCTACTGTCCTGTCAATATAGGAGACGTTTTCGCGTCGAAGTACCAAGTAGTAGGTAAACTTGATTTTGGTGTTATGTCAACTGTTTGGCTGGCCTGTGATCTATAGCAAGTTCACGTTCGGCAATTACGCTATGTATACTAACAGCAAACCAGTCACCATGCCTACACGAGCTTAAAAGTGTCCACAAGAGAGGGAATGGATGAGGATGAGTACAACATGTACAGTATCTTAAGCAAAGGCAACGCTTCGCATCCAGGATGCAATCACGTCCGGACAGCCCTCGATTTGTTTACTATTCCCCGACAAGGTGGCGATCATAGATGTCTTGTCCAGAAACCAATATGAGATAGTTTCAAGAATCTCTTGAATAGAAACCCCGCGCATCGCTTCACGGACGAGCTGCTAAGAGCTGGGTTGTCGCAAGTGTTTCTCGCACTTGATTACCTTCACACAGAAGCCAAGATCATACATACAGGTGCGGCCTAACACGGGCCTTTCTGTAATTCTGTTGACAAGAATTTAGACATTAAAGCCGATGACATCTTCATAGAGATCGAGGATCAGGACATCTTGGAAGCCTTTGTTAACGCAGAAATGACGTCTCCCTCACCTCGAAAAGTCGTAGACGGCAAGCCAATTTACGCGACACGCCAGTTTGGATTACCGAAAGAGTATGGTTGTGTTGTCCTGGGAGATTTCGGCTCTGCAGTCCGTGGTGACAAGCCTCAGATCCATGACGCGCAATCAGATGTCTACCGATGTCCAGAGGTTATGTTGAAGACTGAATGGGGTTATCCAGCTGATATCTGGAACGTTGGGGCGATGGTATGTACCATCTCAAGCCTAGGGCAAAGTCAGACGTTGACCGAGGTGCACAGATATGGGACCTATATGAGGATAAACACCTCTTCTACGGCATCGATCCAACCGAAAAGCAATACCTGACCAGAGCTCATCTGGCGGAATTAGTCGCGATACTCGGTCCACCGCCGATAGATATGCCAGAAAGAGGAGCGCGGAGTAAAGAATTCTTCGATGGTGAAGGTGAGAATGCGCTCCCAAGGTACAGTGTAAAGCTAACCGAAGTTCTATCAGGGAATTGGATAGCCGAGATAAAAATGCCGCAAGGCTTGACGTTAGAGACGTCAGAAGAGAATCTACATGGAGAGAAGAAAGAGGAGTTCTTGCGATTTGTGAGGTGCATGTTGCAATGGAGGCCTGAAGATCGGTTGACTGCGAAGGAGTTGCTTAAGCATCCTTGGGTGAGAGGAAACCTGTGATTCAGGTTTGAACAGATATTGAATAACTGGGAGAATGATCAGCGTAAAAGAACTTACTTTAAGGTTCAATTATATGTAGTGATTGGTGCATGATCATGACTCAGAGAACGACCGATAAGAGACCAATCCGATACCATGAAAGCGTCTTTACGCCTTTAGTCGTGAGGATGCTGATAGCTGACTGTCTACTACTCAGCGCTATTCGAGCAACTGACATCTCCATTCTTCCCACCATACCATTCTTCTCTCGATACGGAGTCTACTTCATGAAACAAGTATCTTCACCAAGCTGAGCGAATTCTGAAGCCACAGGCATTCGCTTCGAGGTGATCGTTACCTGTCTGAATATGTACGAACATTAGTTGGCAGTCCGTCTCCTACATCAGACCATATACAGTCATGATGCTATAGCGATTGACCGGCCCGTATCTAGGAATCGAATTGGCGATCCGTGGTGCCAGGAGCAAGTGCTAGAGATACTGCGCATCAAGTCGTCTTCGCTATCTGGATAGCCTTTAGTCCATTTGTAACCCCCCCAGCGGCGCCTCTGCTTTACGCAACAACGGTGGAGTCAGCGGTCGAGATCAAGGTCCCTTCGTTCTGCATTGCCTCCACAGCGTAAGAGCCGCAAGGACTACAGCAGGTACACCGACACCGATTCCAATTTTTGCCTCAGTCGACAGTCCCTCTTCTGGCTTATCTGCTGACGGTGCGTTCGTCGCCGTCGCTGTTTGCGAGGGCAAATTTGTTGTTGATGTGCCGGTAGATGTGAGAACTCGTGTTTGCAACGATGTTGGGATTGGACTGCTGTATGGTACATCTGTTGATGACGTCGTCGTGTCCGGAAGCGGCCCTGACTCTGACGATTGTAAGATCTCCGTCCCATCCTCGTTCAGATATATCCCAGAATAGCTGTTACAACACGCAGCATTAGAATCGCCGCAACAGAAACTGCCGTCATTACAGCGTGTGACATGGGTGTATCCTGACTGACGACCTAGCATTCACCGTCAGTGACTCGCGGCAAACCCTTCGGAAAATAAGACGTACCGCAAACGTCCCACAACGGACTGCATCCGCTACCCTCCTCGTCCCAGTTTTGACTCGTACATCCGATGACGAAGTACTGCCCTGTCCAGTAGTTGCTATAACAGGCGCCTTGGATGCAGACGTCGTCCGCATAGCCATCGGTTCGATTGAGGTAACAGCACATGTTCGATCCGGGACAAGGCTGTGGGCTAGTGTCTTCGGCTCCATCTCCTGTGTAGCAACTACTGTGGTCGGCAGATGCGCGAGCTAGCAGGAGGGCGAAAATGATGAAGGGGGGGAGTGGTGGGGTGTGTTGCTGTGTCATGTTATCAGGAAAATAGAGTAGAAAGAATCAGCCAGACGAAAAAGTGCGTTGTCAGGCGTGGTGCCTACAGAAAAGTCAACAGTCATATAAACAACACGAAGAATCATTCTACTGATACTTTGCGCGTGTACATGTACATAATATCTCGTACACTGCGCCTCATCAGTTTGTGAGAAGCTTCTCGACATCTGTGCGCATGAATTTCCCTCTACAGCCGACAGCACTGCTAAGTTGAGGCTGAGTTGTGTCACGTCGAACTGATGTGGCTGGTCGACGTGTGGTAATGTGGTGGCTTGCGGCGGGCTGAGGACACGCGGGTTTTTGGCTCCCACTTTCCATCGCGCGCGTAGCTGTTGACTGTCATCAACCTTCTTCTACCGCATCAACAGTCGCTATTCACCTCAACCCATCTCTTTTGGTGCAAAGCATGATGCAGCAATTGCTCAAAGTCGCATCATCTGTCTTGAGAGATGAGGGAAAGTACCATGGCGGCCGCCCCCGTCGGTAAAGCGGGGAAGCTAAGTACACGGGGGATCACACAGCCACCACGCCAGGTCTACACGTTATCAACGACAAAACGATAACCTGAATCTCTCTCAATGTATGCGCGAGCATGGTCGCACTGAACTCAAGCTTCCAAGGTCGTGAAGCTTCGTCAACTAGAACTATCACAATACCTCGTTTTCTCAAGAGTGGGAATGATTTGAAGGCCCCCCTATCGTTTTTGTCATCTACCCCGCCCACAAAGCCATAGAGGACTAACTCGCCCTGCTTCCACACCACAAGGAAACGGCAAGCGCATCCTTTTACTCTTGCACATCCGAGGCTTTTCATCTTGCTGCATTAACTATTTGCGCACGCGCTCAGCATGATTGATGGTGCAATGCGTGAGTACTGCTACAACTAAAGACTGCTATAGCTTCTCCTCGGTTGAAGAAATCACGTCACCACCAGGATCGATGATGCGCATCACGTCGAGGCGCGGGGAGCAGATAGCTCAGACTAACATCCGATTTCGCACGTTCTCACAAAATAGAAGTCCATATATAATGCAGAAATACAGCCGCTGCCTATTGAATGGGCTGAACTATCCCTCGAAACCACGCCTTCGCGCAACAGAAGCACACTGAAACGGACGCTCACGGACTAGCTTGTCTACTTCGACGTTGGCGCGTGTTTACTGAATCAATATCTCCATTACTTGATACCATTCAAAAGCAACTATGGCTACCGCAGCTACTGCCACTGTGACGCCTCCAGCGCTCGGCCCTGTCTTCAGCGCTACACCTGCAGCCCAGCCACCACAAGGCCAGCCAGACATATCCTATCACCCCGACTGGGAAAAGTACCAAGTCCGTGTAGCCCGTCGCACTCAGATAGATAACCTCCCAAAAACCCTTCCGGATGGATTCCCCAAGGAGCTAAAGGGCGACCTAGTTTGGGAAGGAGAGTCTCTTGCCCAAGAATACGATTGGACCTACGTCTTCTCGGCCGACCAACTAGCGGAAATAGACAATGCAGTTACTCACTTCAAATGTAAGCTCCCTGCCTCGCTGATCCCTCCTTTTTGGGGAGTATGCTTTTGTTACAACTGGCTGACGACTGGACCGAATAGCCCTCAAGCTCGGCTTTGGCTACATAGCGCAAGAGACGTTTCCTCTTCCTAATCTGCATGCAGAGCTGCGCCGTCTCTCCCACGAGCTACATTTTGGCCACGGCTTCTTTGTTCTTCGTGGTCTGGATGTCGATAAATATACACGCGAGGAGAATATCATTATCTACACTGGTATATCCTCGCATATTGCTTCTATCCGGGGCCGTCAGGACGCTTATCTAGACGACAAGCGTGCGGATGTCGTTATAGGACATATCAAGGATGTCAGATCTGGAGTTGGGGAGGGCGAGAACAAGAGTCAGCTCAAGATTGGTACTCCAGCGTACACGTCGGACAAGCAGGTCTTCCATACTGACTCGGGCGATATCGTCTCTCTCTTCGCACTCTCAACGGCGGCAGAAGGAGGCGCTAGCCGTCTTGCCAGTACGTGGCGTGTTTACAATCATCTGGCTGCAACAAGACCCGACCTTATCCATACGTTGAGCCAAGACTGGGAAGCAGAGATGTATGTTACTCCAAGTCTAGAATAAGCACAGTAAAGTTCAGAAGTCACTAATACGTTCTCGCCAGCTTCACCAAGACCGTAGATGACAAAGAAAGATTCGAGAAGCGGCCTCTGCTCTATTACCAGCCTGCCAGCGTAGATGACAAGACGCCAGAACGGATCCTTCTTCAGTATGCTCGGCGCTATTATGTTGGTTTTGGGCAGCTTCCGCGCGGCAACCATCTGCCACCGATTACCGAAGCCCAGGCAGAGGCACTCGATGCCTTGCATTTCTTAGGCGAGCGTTTCAGTGTATCGACCAACTTCGAAAAGGGCGATATACAGTACGTCAACAACGTTGCCGTATTCCATGCGCGTGACGGCTTCACTGATGAGGGCGACAAGAAGTGAGTTCTCCAGAATATCAGAAAACTACCGAGTACAAACAAGATTAGACAACTGACTATATTGGGGATGGTAGGAGACATCTACTACGACTGTGGCTGCGTGACCCTGAGAATGCATGGGAGACTCCGGTTCCGCTTGCTTCGAGATGGGACCGTGTATATGAAGGTGTGACACCCGAGCTGCAGGCTTTCCCGCTCGAACCGCACACTCGCAGCGAAAGCACCCCAAGCGCAAAGTGAGCGACTGGTCTTCTAGCCCGTGTTCGGACTGATCTATAGCGGGAACGTTGGTCTTGACGCCACCAGGTTACGCTGATTCACGGGTATCATGCATGACCATCAAAGGGTGATATCACAGCAGTCATCGCAAGTACTTAATTAAGTATCAGCTGTCGAAATACGATACTCGCAATTCCATGTGATCAGACCTTCTAGATAAAAAAGCATAAATTCAAACACAAAGTGTAGTTTAGAAGTAGGCTCTTCCAGCATAATCTCATGAGACGATCTATTTGTGGGTTGAGAATGACGGAACTACACTCCATCTTTTCCACGGGCTCGAGGTAGGTAACGTGATTACAATTGATCTCCCTCTACCAGGTTTGGTAAAAGCTAGAGTTTGGCTTCACGAATCATCTAAGTCTACAGCAAGTTAGTCATCCTACTTGCCAGAGCAAGCCACGTGATACCAACATGCGCTCCTATTACGGATATTATGTGGAGCTCTGGCGTGCCAGAACAGCTAGTTAGCGTCAATGATGCAAGCGCATCGATATATCGCGAAACACCCCACCAACGCTTCATCTCAAGACCATTGCGCCAGTGCGCGCCGATAAGACGTGAACAAGGCTTGATGTGCGATTCTCGGAGAGCAAGGGAGTACAATGCAGGTTGTCAGAGCAGAAAGAGTTGCGGGCTTTGATAGTCTACGAGCCTTGGCTGCATCGCCCACCACTCCATCATGAGCGCTTACATGACGTGCTTCTAGGCATGTTCCACTTCTGGAAGGTGAGAGACTGTTCATGGCATGGATACTGCTTGTCACTCCCGTAATTGGCATTGCGATGGCGATTGTGCCATTACATAGGCTGGTCACGACGTGCGCATGGACAAAATGACAGGGCTGAGGAGGATTTTACCCTCCACTGTTGTCGTCCTTGAGATTCCTACTATGCTGTATCAATCTTGTTCCCACAGCACGTCATTTCAGACAATCCGCGATGCGATATATGTAACGTCCCTCGCATTCTTGTTCATACTACAGGATACACCATTGGGATCGAAGATAGTTGGCCACCTTGTATCACCCGAGCCGTATCGTCCTCCAGACCGAATCGCCAGACGATCCACACTATGGGCTTTCTCTCCAAGATCGGACCGCAGACCACCACAAGCCAGGTGGCATCCGAAAGCGACAACTCGGATAGCGAACTCTCCGTTATCCATGACGGCAACTTGGCCTACGTCCATCAGACGGCTGGAAATGGCGCCTCTGGCTATCAGGAAGCTGTAGGAGCGCCTGTAGAGAAGCATTCCCCACTGGGCTACCACGTCAACTGGCTTACAGTCATCTTCCTCAACGTCAACCATATGGTCGGCACTGGCATCTTCTCCACGCCAGCTACGATTCTTCGGCTGACAGGCTCCGTGGGTTTGGCTCTGATCTACTGGGTTATCGGGTTTATTCTAGCCGCTGCTGGCCTCGGTGTATATCTGGAGTTCATCAGCTTCTTCCCCAACCGAAGCGGTTCTGAGGTCGTGTGGCTCGAACAGAGCTTTCCAAGACCTAAGCACTTCTTTCCAATAACATTTGCGGTTCAATCCGTCCTCCTGTCTTTCAGTAGCAGCAACGCTATCGTATTGTCCAATTATCTATGGCGGATCGCTGGGCGCGCGCCGGACCCATGGGAGCTCAAGGGTGTAGCTATCGTCGCGTACACGTTCGCCGTTATCTGCGTGGTCGCACACAACAGGTATTCCTTATGGGCGATAAATGGAATCGGAGCTTTGAAGATACTACTACTTGTGTTCATCTCGATCTCAGGCTTTGTCATCCTCGGCGGCCATGCGCCTCGCGTGGAAAACCCCGGCATCAACTTCAGGAACGGCAACGGCATGAGCGGAACGACTTCCAGCGGATACAATCTCTCACAAGCCATGGTGAATATCAGCTTCGCCTTCTCCGGGTGGCAAAATGCCTTCAGCATGGCCAACGAGATCAAGAGTCCTCTGCCTACCCTCAAGAAGAACGCTACCGCGTCGCTACTGATCGTCTTTACACTCTACTTTCTCTGCAACATCGCCTATTTCGCCACTGTTCCCAAGGATGTATTTATCGATTCGAGCGAGCTGGCAGCAGCTGTATTCTTTCGTACCGCTTTTGGATCGGCTGCCGAGTCAGCTCTCAACTTCTGTGTCTTGCTCAGTTCTTTTGGCAACCTGCTCGCCGTCTTAGTCGGTCAGTCACGACAGATTCGCGAGATTGCTCGCCAAGGTGTGCTTCCGTGGACGGAGTTCTGGGTATCGACGAAGCCTTTCGGTACACCACTCGGACCTTATCTCCTGAAATGGGTTTTCACCATCATTATGATTGTGGCACCTCCAGCAGGCGACGCATTTCAGTTTGTCGTCTCGTTGAAGTCATATCCAGATGCCATATTTCACGTGGCTTTAGGCGCCGGCCTCATTTTCCTCCGTCGGCGTCGCGACCGGTCTGGTACTCCTCGATCAGACTTCAGGGCTTGGTGGGTCATCGTCATCCTATATTTACTCTCACAGATCTATCTGCTCGTCATGCCGTGGATTCCCCCGGTGGGTGGCATCTATGCTGGCACTGTTAGCTTTTTCTATGCCACTTACATGATTGTGGGTATCGCGGTGATCGGTATCTGCGGTGCTTATTACTACGTCTGGATGAACGTCCTTCCGCGTTGGGGAAACTATACCATCAGGTCGCAGGTGGTCAATGTGGACGACAATGGTGCCAACACGCATCGGCTGCTGCGTGTACCTAATGCCGAGGTGGCTGATTGGGATGCCAACCATGACGAGCTTGGTAGGGCGATACATTAAGGGCGGACTGGTAGATTTGCAATTCTTTGTCAGGTTTTCGTGCCTCGGGCACTCGCACGATCATTTCTCCGGTGTAAAAAGTGACGGTTCATGAATAAAAGTGATGGTCATCACATCTGTATGATTACTGAGGGCAACCTAACATAGTTCCCCCACCATCATCCTGGTCAATGCTTCCACCTCCCGTCCCGGACACCCAGCACAAACCTCATCGTGATCGCAAAACTCGCTCCCAGCAACCACATCCAGACGTGTTTTGGCAGGCAGGTCAAACGTTCCTGTCGGTGCGCAATCCCAAAAAGACCAGCTGGTTGATGCAGTATATCCCTGCAGCCTGCAGCGGAGATGTAAGATGTGTTTTAGGAGTAGAGTGCTTGATACACTAATGCACAAATACCCTTCATGCAAGCTCAGGACTCCGACATTCGTAACGTTCGCGCTCGAGTAGGAAGACCGTAATGATTGTAGGATTCGAGAGATCCTGGGGCGGTATGTAGCTAGATGTTTCAAGTTGCTGTTTCAACATATGCTGCAGCCTGAAGGATCCCGAGGTCTCGTTTGGGGTTTCTGGCCTCAACAAGCAGGGTAGCGATGCACACATGGCCGTCACACCCTCTATGGCGCGAATTGTCGAATATATCGTCGCAACTCACGCACTGGTGGCAAAAATGCAGAACGTAACCTATAGCCTTTGCAACCTAAGAATTTCACACCGAAGTCACCAGTTTCCATTGCCTTTTCCGCTCCAGTAGTCATGGCTCCGAACACAACAGCCGAAGCCAATTCAACAGATTCCGAATCTGTTGCTAGGACAGGAGATAAGAGGAAAAGAGATGGAACGTCAGATTCTCAGTCGCCACCGGTACCGAAGAAAAAGAATGGAACAGAGTCAATAGTCAGTGTTCCAGAGAAACAAACAGACTGCCAAAAAGCTCTCAACAACACCAAGGTCCTCAAAGAGTTCCGCATTACATTCCACTCACAGAAGTTCTCCCCCCAGCGTCCGGGAAATGTTCCTGAGGAACATCAGACAAAGTTCAAGCACATTAAGCAATTGGGCGAGATCAGTTACGATTCGTATGCAGTACAACCTCGACCTGATACTGCCAACAAACCATGGGAGCTTGAGAACAAGTTGCGGGCTAGACGGGTGAGCGAGAAAGCAATCCAAGCGAAAAGTGACTATCAGAACGAGGATGGATGGCGAATGGCTGGGGGGCTTGAGAGCCTCGTATTTAAACGCTTTGAAATCGAAGTCGCATGGTATGATACGATCCGAGGTCGATCTGATCCAAGTTTCCTATGCTGACAACCGCTAGTCAGGAGTGCCGCAAACGTCTGTGGCAATCCTTCGTCGAGGTCAACCCGGAAGAAGGCAATAGTCGAACGAAGAACCTGGTAGAGCGTCAACAGCGTCGTACAATATGCGAATGTGAGCCATTGTCAAAGCAGCATAACACGTGAGTCGAAGACTCTACCAAAGCAACGAATCACAACTAATCACATTTTTAGTTTGAGTACAGGGCTGACCGACATATTCACTACACGTATCGGCGAGCGAAGCATCATACAGGACGATCCCGAAAACCACAGTAAAATAGAGATGCGGCCTGATCGAATCTATGGACTGAGAACTACAGATGCCATTAAGAAGATTTTGAAGCAACCACATACTCGCCACTTGAATGAAGTCTCAGAGCTTAACGATGACCTACGAGGCAAATTGACTATCAGCTGCAATCCAGATAGTGGTGGAGAAGCTTCAATATATCCTTTCTTGGCGATGGAGGCTAAAAGCCTCAAAGGCAGAGGCAATTTCCTGGACATTGAGGTACAGACGGCAGCACCTATAAGAAATCATTTATACCTACAGCTCAAGCTCCAAGAAGATGAGTTCAACAAGATGCCGACACCAGGAGGTCCGTTGTCTTGGTTTTTTGCGTATGTTGGTGAGACGTGGAGAGTGTATGGGTGTTACGTCACAAAGTCTAGCCCAGGCAATCTGATCTGTTATGTGAGTGGATATGCGGTTTTTCTGGTGCGTTGGTTAACAGAGTAGCAGGATATTGTTCGCCTTTGGCAAGGAGATATCACTAGCTACGACGAAGCACTTCAACTGATTCTAATCATGGACTACATCGTTGATTGGGCGCGTGACATCTTCCGGCCCAGTATCATGAGACAACTCATGTCCGTCGTAGACAGGGGTGAACATTCGTCTTACACAATTGTCGATCAATCTGATATCCTTTCGATACGCGATTATGCAAACTCTCGATATGGTGGCAGGCCTGTCCCTACCATTGCCGGAGCTGGAACACTCGAGACGCCTGCGGAATCGGAATTTGATGCAATAAACTCCACGATCGACTCTTCTTTCGAGCCACTCTTAGCGACTACAGGAAAACATGTGGATATCAGGGTCTGGGGAGGCGCTAAATATCAGTCACGAGTTCGAGGGCTTTTTATCACCGAAGATGACACTGCTGCTATGAAACATCTTATACACACGGACTACAAAAGATTGGAAACCATTAGCTCGGATCGCTGTTGGTTTCTCTTGTCAAGTGTCCAAGACATCAAAATCATCGAAGAGGCTTGGACTGGGACTCAAGAGATCAAGGATGTGCAAAAGCTTCGGCAGCAAAAGATCTTGATCTCTCTCTATGTGCAGTACCGCAAAGATCTTAATGGCGCGCCTATACGTGAATTGACGTATCTTGCTCTTACTGAAGCAGCTGCCCGCGAGACATTATATCCTTTTGGATATATGCTAGAGGAAATTGAGCTGGTTGCTCCAGCTGAAGAACTTGCAATCAAACTGAGAGAAGCCTGGCATTCGAGCAACAAGAACTACTACAAGCGTTACGCCAGCGGCAAAAGTAGCGTACTTTGTGTCACCGCATCTGACTACGACAAATCGGTAGACCGTGTCGTCCTTGGCTTCTACAGCGACCGCGAGATGACGAATCACGCTAGAAGACTGGATTTATTCTTCAAGACCGCTTGTGAGGATCGGAAAGGAGAGCTTTACAAGGTCTATGCGCCATGCTCTCGGTACACAAAAGTCGTCCATTCGCTTACCGTTGAGCCTCATTGCGCCCTCAACCCTGACCAAGATTGCGTTTTCATCAACACAGACGCCATGCGATCCGGAATTTGCGTCTACGTCAATAATGCAGCATCTCAAAAGATCAGCCATAGGTTGGTTATCCGATATCTTCTGCAAATGGTAGTCATCCTTTGGAACAGCACATGGCTGGATTCGAAGTCCGCCTTTTATACGAATGATGAGTCGCGTATCGACAGTAAGATACTACTATGGATCGTGTCAGATCCCCAATGGGGTTTGTATCTTACAATGAAACCTCCTCTGAACATGCCTGATATGTACAAAGTTCATATGTACAAAGTCCACAAACATCTGGCGTGGTACCGCAGAGTATTACTCAGACACAAGTGTGGGACGGGTATGGTCGGATCCGAACACGGGCGCAGTACTGTTGAATCCGAATTCTACAAAGAAGGGCACGAAAACATTCAACGCTACATTCAGCGCGCTTGCAAGAATTGCGACTACAAGCATTATTCTGATCCAGCTGCGTCAGGTCCTACATTTTGCTTCCGCGACGAAGACTTCATACCAAAAGAAGGACTCCAGAATCCTCCCAGTTCCGAGTTATATGGTGATTGAACAGTTGTAGCCTGACGTTTCCAACAAACTTCAATTATCAAAACTTGGGTATGCTAAGTGTGTTCTTGATTTATCATTCCAGTGTGTATGCTAGACTGTGACATCCTCCATTTTCTGCAAGTCACGATCAGCATATGCGCTTGCGATGTCCAATATTAGTTTCTGCTAGATGAAGTTTGATCGTAGGATCTGGAACGATCAAGTCCATCATATGTAGTCGTCCCCGCTCATCATTCACAGATGGAAGGGAATATTCTTGTTGAGAGAGAGTTCATGCTTGCATTCTCCAAGTCTGCATCCGGACTGACAGTGCAAATGACAAGCCTCAGATCTTATGTGAAGGTACAGGTTTCAGGTTGTAAAAGTATAGGCCACCTCGAAGAACGAGTCGCAATATGCTCATGGGCAATGTTAGCGTCGGGATACGACGCCTAGGACCAAGATACTACAAAAAGACATCCATTATGCTATGCTTGACAGTTGTTGAATTGCTCTAGTGTGCGCGTCACGGATTGAAATCCCACAATGATGTGATGACTCAAGCAACCAGTTTCTTCCAAGAATCCCGTGCGGAGACGCGTTCCCACCAAGCTTGTACATTGTGGCGGGTTCCAAACATATCACCCTCTTGAACCTCGAAGAGCTTTCCGACGAGTGGCATATAAAATATATCAATCAAAGAGAATGCATCGCCACCCATGTAGTCTTGCTTTGCAAGGATATCGTTGAACACGTCAAGGTTCTCGGAAAGAGCATTCTTCGCTTTCTCGAGAACGGACTCTTCAGTGGGCTGACCGAACATACTAAATGAAATACGTTAATCCTGTCATAGAATCTGTGCATAGATAACTTACGGTCGCACCATTTTCTGGTAAAATATCTCCTGGACGAATGGGTCGAAGTTGTTTTGTTCCACAGACGCCCATTGCTCAAAGTGGGCCCAGGCTTTCTTGTTGTCGAAGGAGGGTAGAAGAGCGGTGCCCTGCTCGGCGTACTCGCTAGCTAGGAACCGCGATATCGCGCGAGATTCTTCACGTAACAGATGAGATCATGTGGAAAAGAGAGTGCTGGGTACTGACCAAAGAGAACGAAGTTGTTGTCCTCGAGGATCGGAATCTTGCCGAAGGGATGTTTTTTGAGATGCGACTCGGTCTTTTATCCCATCAGTTTGTGTGAAGTCGAACATCGTGTTCACTTACCTTGTGTTCTCCAGCGGCAATGTTTGAAGCATGCAGTGTAAAGTCACTCACTCCCTTCTCAGCAAGGACAAGAAGCGGGCGAAGTGTGCAGACTGAGTGCGAGATGCCAGTAAGGGTGAACGGCATGGTGAAAATCCAAAGCAATATCTGTTGAGTAGGGCTCTTTCTGAAGTGTGATATCCTCAGAGGGAGGCGCGACTCTTATATATGTGTAGTGTGACTTGTTCATACGTCATCAATACACAGATACGATTTCCATACTGCACTGCGGACGTGGAGATGATTCATTAGCTGCGGAAGCTCGTTTGGTGATTCAGACCAGAGAAACCAGATGGTGGGCCTCGGTCCAGTCATGGAATATCCGCATGTATTTACAAAGTTGCTAACTAATCCGTACAATTTGCATCCGCAGTGAGAAAGACGGTGGTCGCTCTTTCTTTGAATGGGGCATTTGCGGATACAAAATATATCCGCACCGGAAAAGCATCCATTGTGAACCAGCAAAGACTACTATACTATGGATTATAGACGCCGTACAGAGCCTTAGTGCGAGGGTAGCCAGCCTGAGTCAACATTGGCTTCGGTGGAAAATGAATTTCCGTAAATAATTGGACATGATTCTACTTGCATCGTATCCACATGAACGAAATGTTCTGTATGCTTTAGCTCCTTGAATTACTAACAAAACTGATCTTGCAGTCGTAGCTCGTCAATGGACTAGGATGTGCGGATCTTGCCGGCACGATTGTATAAGTATCACTACCCGAAATTGGCAAACAGTTCGCGATGGCTTAGATGCGATTAACTGGTTCACTATCTTTATTGTCGTAATACGGGAATATGCTCAGAAGCGAAGACACGAAAAGCGATTTGTGATACACTTCATTCTTCCTACTTAGCGACTGAAGCGTTGAAGGCGATTGCGATCTTCACAACTAATCTGATATTTCTCAATTCATAAACATGAACCCATGGTTGTGAGATTTCAGAAAATCTGGCACCAATTCACCATACGACTCATCTAATCCATTTGGCTTGAGGATATCATGAAATACCTCACGCGCCTTATCACGCAAGGATGGCATATTGCTCAACAGTCCTTGCGCGATCGGCAACCAGTCGACAACTTGAGTAAGTCTGAGCTTTATTGACTAGATTACCCTTGACGTTAGCTGATTGCCAACCTCGGGAGTTGATGGCCTTCTGGCTTACCTCGAGTGATTGTCCAAACATCATGACTTGCTCGCCGCTCTGGGCAGCGATAACCGCAGAACTCGCTAAGTTGCACAATCTCCTACATCCTTCGAGAAGTCTTTGCACATCGCAACCGGCCTTCTGGAACTGCTCCAGGAATTGGACAAAGTTGTGGATCAACTGCGCATCAGCCTCAGCGTAAATTGATGCTGGACGTACTAGAGTCTCGGATAGCAAGACCAAGACAGCGGAGAGGGGATAGCACAGTATCTGCCTTGATGTAGTTTCAGCTTCAGGCGCTCAAGCAGGTCACTAGTGATGAATCATGGCAAACATACCAGAGATGTGTGAATGGCTGCTGCGGTCGCAAGCGAAACAGCACGTCAAGTGTTCTACGAGCTGCCATGGCGCACTCCATCCAAGGCATTCTGCTGTTGAACAGGGAATTCTCCGGTGAGGATAGTTGGTCTTCTCGTAAGACGGAGTTGCATGTTTTCAGGTCAACCAGAAGAGCGATCGTGGTGCTGACCCTGCTCTTACAACTAAAATAGATAAAGTGTAGGAGAGCGACTGGGACTTCGAGGAGCGGCGCCCCATACATTCCGTCACAGACTTGGCTATCTGTGGGCAATGTATCTTTCCAAGATTCGAGATCGTTGTCGATTTCTTGTAGAAGTCTCAGCAGACCAAAGCTTTCCTGCTTGGAAAACTGCCTGGAACCCACTTTATGTAGTAGTTCGTGTATTCGCAGCTGTTTGATAGCAAGCGTTGCTCGCTCTCGCATGAGGGCGATCTGATCTAGCCTTTCAGGGTTCGTGGAATGGTATTGTTCGTCTCTGGAAAATTCCACAGGTGTTTCCACTGCACCAAGAGGCGAGGGCAAGTCACATCTATGCGTCATTTCCGCATTGATGATGTATATTACCCAAAAGATTCGTTTGCTTCTGTATGCTTCAACACTGTTGAGACCGGCGTAGTATTCCGTCGTGTGCATACCGAGTATATGAGCCACGCGGGCTGCAGTAGCTGTTATCTGTCCAGCGACGCGGGTGTCAGCTGAACGCAGCATGAACAAAGCCATGGCAAGTAGCGCTTCACAACACGCTATTGAAGGTTCTCGAACTGCGATTTCGGCATAGATTGCAAATGCATTCTTGAAAAACCCCCATGCCGTTGATGAGAGTGCTGTAAGAGACCCATTGTCTATCCTCTGAAGTGCCGATACCCCAAGGAGTGAGCACACAGTCGCCCATCGGCATGGGTTACTGCGGTAATCACCTGCACCTGCAATATATTGTTCATCAACTCGGTCCATAATATCTTCTCTAGCAAGGAAGATGCCATGGACCTGGATCGCTTCGATTACCGAACGCAGCACATCTATTGCGAGATGTTTTGGAGGAAGCTGTGCATACATTCTACTCTCATAGTAGCCTCGACTCACTTGTGACTGCAGATGTTCCATCGTTCTGCTAACATCAGCGGCGAGGACCGTGAACCTTCTAGCAGCGGCAGGCAAGGTTCGTGTTGTCTCGCTATCAGTCCAAGGACTCCAGGTCAAATCAGCGACCTCATCGAGTCTGGCAGTTATATCGTCTATGTGAGATCCTTTCAGATATGTACACCCGTACAATGATGTAGTACTGATATGCTTACCTCTTTCAGAGACCACAGCTTTCTTGCCACTTTGTACTCGATCATAGGCTCTTGCTTCGCGAGTCGGTTTGTTCGGCGTATCATCTTGTTGCAGAGATGGATGAACTTGTTTTTCCTGCAGCACAACAGGCGATACGTCCTTCTTGCTGGAAGGTATGAATTAGTTTATCCCTCTACTTTTGCCAAAAAGACGACTTACGCCTTTCCACGACCCCGTCGCCGTCGCGTTGTGTATACACAATTCCGCTTGTGCTTTACGCAATGGCCACAATATGGCTGTGCTCCATCACAGCGTCTCTTTCTCTGCTGACATTCCAGGCATGCCTAAAACGCGTTAGCGTATTGTATGGTATACCTTCCAGCGGAACAAGCGAGCGTACTTACATTGATGGTTCGTTTGCCTTTGAACATATCTGCAGACCTGTTGATGTACGCGTATCGTTATGACGTTTTATCAGGTATGTACAGGATGATAGGGAACCGCGGAGCGAGGATTGGCGATGATGTTTGCGGAGTCTTGTCAGATGCCGACACGATGTGCTACACAGAACACTATGTGATTTGATAATGCGACCTTGCGCGACCAAAGATGAATCATCCAGAACGCATGCTCCGTTCGGGACCGGTGGTACGAATCAGTCCTCGGCGTTTACGAGAAGCTAAGTCCTGATCTGTTTGTCTTCACCTCCGCACTGGAAGGCAGGCTTGACTATATTCGGTATAGCGTGCGGATACAATTTGTATCCGCACGCTATGGCTGTACTGCGGACATGATTTGTATCCGCAGCACAGCCATCAAAAAGGGACAGTTCTTCTTATTAAGCAACATTAGATTGTTGTCAGACTAGTAAGCCTCCTTCTCATGATTCATAGCGCCTCTGTTTCCAATCTCATAATGCGGACAAATCCCGGATGTTACCAATGGCTCTGTTGAATGATATAGTGCGCCAGCGCTGGTAGGTTCTCTCTTGTATAAGTCTCCTACAAATCTGTATTCTGGGTCGAAGTAGTTAGACTTGTCATTGCAATTGTTTTACCTCATCAATGTCGAAACATCATATTTTAGTAGCCGGAGCTACAGGTTTGTCATCACTCTTGACGCACGATAAAAACAAATCTGACAGTTGGCAGGACCATCTGGACTGGCTTTCTGCAATGCTGCTCTAGATGCAGAACATAGGTTAACGCTGTTCGTGCGCAACCCATCGAAGGTGCCGCAAGCCATTGCCCAGAACACGAACGCAGGAATCATAGAAGGAGGGTTCAATGACATGGTTGCCCTTGAGGCTGCAGCCAAATGTGGCGCCGACATTTTTGTCTCTTTTATCGGCCCAATTTCTGGCCACAAAGGCACGGTAAGTCTCTCTAACCATGGACATTACTATCGAACGAACATATCCCACCTAACCTGTTCCTCAGCCTCTAACAGAAGGCTACAAACGCCTCCTTCCACTTCTCGCCAGCAGCAATTACAAGCGCGCCATGATCCTTGGGACGCCATCATGGGCCTCGTCTGAGGACAAGCGATCACTGTTATGGCAAATGTCTATTGGGTCCATAGCATTGTTTTTCCGTGACGCCTACAAAGACTTTGTAGGAATAGGAAACTACGTCACTTCACTATCTTTGAGCGACATCAAATGGACGTTATTCCGCGTCCCTTTCCTGACGGACGCAGCCCCTAGCGAAGTCTACGCTGGACCATTAGGTGCTCCGCATATAAGTTTGAAGCTATCGCGAGCTTCCATGGCGAATTGGTTGCTTCAAGAGATTGACAAGGCTCAGTGGATTGGAAAGACTCCATGTCTATCAAACTGTAAGTTGAATAGCTCATACACTAGTATACCTTCTTTCTGATTATGTCTTAGAGCAGAGACAACAATTCCTTTCCCTAGGCTATTGACTCAAAATCGGATATTGACTTGGATACCAGAGATCGATAGTCTTTTTTTTATAGGAGTAGCCTGGGTTCAGTCAGTAAGGAAACGGCACTACACTAGAAGAACGAGTCGCAACATGCTCGCGGGCAATGTCAGCATCGGGATACGATGCCTGGGACCAAAATCTCATCAATAGACATCCATTATAATGTTGAATCGCTACCCACCAAAAACTCTCCTAGAATTCTAGAAATCAACCCCCAAACTTCTTCTTCTCGATCGCACTCCCCACCAACCCCTCACCCTTGATTACGTTCGTCGCGCAAACCACAATCTTCGAGCCCCTCCCCTCACCACCACTCTCCTTCAACTTCTCCCCCACAAACCTCAAGGCCGCAATCTCAGCTCTCGTCACACCGCCCAGGAAGAACACAACAATAGTCTTGTTCTTCTCGCCAGCACTTCCATTCAACAGCTGTCGTGCCTTGACCGCCTTCTCTTCGCCCTTCTGCGTTTCGTCGAATGTTGCACCACGAACGTACTTACTCGCGTCGTCAAAAATGCGGAGGCCCTGGGCTAGAGGGTTGGCTTGAGCGCTTGCTCGGGGGTCGGAGGGCGGTTTGATGGCGTTGGCGAGGGTGTGTTTTTGGATGATGGATTGGATTATGCGCACGCTGAGGGGTGCGTAGCCGGAGAAAGTATAGCTGATGTCGTTTGGACTTGCTTCGTTGACATCATCGTCCCAGAGCTTTAGGCTCTTTCGCAAGGGCGTGTAGTTTGTTACGCTGCCTGGTTTGGCGGGTGCGCCTACGCCGCCCAGACTTACGCCGCCTCGGGATCCTAGCAAGCCCATTTTCTCGAGTGACGCTAGGGTAAGGATATGTTGCGGGCCATAAGCCTGGATAATGGCGCGTTTGAAGGTTTCAAGATCTTTCGGGCGGATTCCGGCATTGGTGGTGGATTCTAAGCATAGCAAACGGAGGATGGCGGGGAGCGGTACATCACGGTTGATGAGCTCGGTTATCGTGTCATGCTGGGTTGTAGGGTCGGCGCCAGACATAATGTTCTGCTGCACTTCTAGGCTTCGCGTGAAGATGTCAGTGCGCGTAAACTTGATAATCTCCTCAGCCAAGCTGGTGTGTAACTTCAAGCTTGCTTGTTCAGCCTGGTAGCCTGGTAACTTGGCGACGAAGTCACGGAGCTCGGAAGTCGTCTTTGTAGCAAGCTGATCGCGTCCTGTGCTGCTTTGGAGGCGACGGGCTGCTTGGTTGAGCAGGTTGCCGACAATGGCGAAGTTGGCGTCACCCAATTCGGCATACAGAGTGTCTTTCGAATCAATCATGATCTTGCGCTTCATACTGGTCGACGCCGATCCAGTCTGTCCTTGTTGAGGCTGTGCGCCGCCGGCTATGGAAGAGTCGACTTCTGTTTGGTTTGCGGTAATATTGAAGACCTCGTCGATGAGCCCTTCGTAGGTCAACTGAGTGAGTAGTACCGTGGGAAAGTCGACTTCTCGATCGACGATGATGAGGCTGCCTATGTTAGAACTAGGTGCTAAGCCCATGAACGATGGTCCTCCGCTAGCAGATGTCTCGCCTGCCATGACTTCGGTACGCATGCGGATGAGGAGGTCAGCGAGGCGCTTGCCATTGTCACCCTTTCCGATGATGCGTGGAAACAGACCATACTTCTGCTGCTGAAGCATGAGTGCTTTGGCTGACAAGTAGATTGCGGTCGGATCTTTCTTCTACACACAGTTAGTATCATGTCTGCAGCAGGTCCAGAACACACGTACAAGATAGAGATCTGACACAGCATCTTCAAGTTCAAGCGACAGCACATCATCTGCAAGTGGCACGAAGAACAACGGCCATTCGCTCACACTAGCTTCACCCAGAACACCCGCTTCTTCGAGCAGTTGATCGGAAGTCATAGTACGACGAGGCACCCAGAAGATGGAAAATTCATGCTCAATTTGGCTGTCTCGCCGTATACGTTTGATTTGGTCTATCTAGTATGTTAGCACCGTACAATAGACTGTTCCTATATGGGAAGAATAGGCAATCCAATAAAAGCGCTATGTTCGATTTAGGCATCAAGACTGGCTAGGCAGAGTGGGTACTGTCTGTCTAGCCTACTTTTTGAGCCAAAAGCTTGCCATAAGGCAGATGGAGAGAAACAAGTAAGGAAGCCGAGGGAGCTTCACTTACCAGCAACAGCCATCACAGTTTTCGCTTTCTCGCCTCTGACGAGGAAGACGATGTTGCGCTGAGACGAGTCGACATTGTCGTTCTCGAGGAAGAAGGGCTTGTCGACGCCGTATTCCTGCAACGTGGAGAACTTGACAAGCAAGTTCAGTGGGCCTGCAAGAGCTTTCTCAAGCACGAGATTCTTCTTGCCTCTTATCTGTCCGCACACGTTAGATGGTGCAGAGATCTGCGACGTTGATATTACCTTACACCCTCGAGCAGAAGAAGCAGCTCCCGGCGCGCTTTTTCAGTTATGTCCGCCGCATTGAGAGGTGTGATGGGCGCCATCTTCGCCGCTGTATCATGAGTTACAGCTTTTGCGAACGATCCTAACGCGCATGACTATGCAGCTCGCCCTTGTGATGTGAAGGTCGATAGAGTGGGAAAGAGGTGGTTGGATTTTCGGGTCTTAAGCTTTGGACTCAAGGCACGTGCACGTTCATGGCTTGGCGCTTAAGTGGGTAACTACCTACTGCTCGCGCGACGAGTTGCACTTTTGCGTGGGAAGTTCGTGATACGATGCCTACTTGTTGAGCACACCTAGAATCTGGGCTGAGAAACAACTGCTCGGTAACGCATAGTCAACATTGGGAATATCTACCATTGTAGCTACCTAGATAGTTTAGGACGCAGATGGAATTCATGGAATTATTCGTAAAGAATTCAATCCGACTCCAAACCCCAAATCTGCGTATTCCCAAAACGTCATTCGTACAGGACAGAGTCCAATAGCACACGCAAATGGTGGTAGTAACAAAGCGACCAAAGTAAACGACAGCCCCAAAGGCCGAGGCTAGCCCGAACATCAATCGCGCTCGAAGCTCAAGCTACTGAGACATTCTCAAGAAAGACCCAACTCTCCATCTCAACCCCACCAACGCCCGATTTTGCCTAATTTTACCGCGCCAATTCACGTCAAACAGCGAGAAAAAAACCATCAGCAAACATCGAAAATGACAGAACCATCTCCCAACGAAGCAGCTGCGCAAAACCCCGACATCGACCCTGCGATCACAAATGGCCTGGCGCAACAAGCATCCACAGAGCAACCCGCAGATGTAGAGATGACAGATTCTGGAGCAGTAGCAGCAGTCAGTCTCTACCCTTGTTCGCTCAAGCACAACAACCACAAACACTGTACTAACGCCTCCAAGCCACCCGCTCAAGACACCCAATCCCAAGCTCAAGCCGACCTCCAACCAACCGTCCAAACAGTCCCGCCAACACCTTCAACCACTACGCCCGCACCCCCATCTGCTCCTTCCCTCCCCACAGCGCCCGCGCCCACACCCACACCTGCAGCATCGTCGCGCAACTCACCTCATCCGACTGCTCAAGCGCCGACTCAACCCATTCCACACGGTAGCCCGACAAGAGTGTATCTCAATCAGCATGTGACGCCGCATTTGCTAGAAGCTATGAAGCATCTTGCTACGACGGAGCCAGAGAAGCCATTGAAGTGGCTGAGTGAGTTTTTGGCGCAAAAGAGTAGGGAGATTGAGGGGCCTTGAGGGGTGGATGGACTGGTAGAGGGGAACACAGAGATGGTCTAGAGACTATGTCAGGACAAGGAACAAGATGCCATGCGCATGCGTGGTCGATTAGCAAGTCCGTGGTATGCTGGTCAAACATGACTACACAGCGGAAGACATGATAGAAAAACATCCAAGGACCACAGACTTATGCGAGGGTGTTTCCAAAAGTACAAGGCAGGCAGGCAGGCGTCATGAAGGATGATACCCAAGTCAATCAGCAATACAAAGAGCAAACGATCAAATTCTGGCACGTTCAATTCAACTTGGGTATATTCAATTCGAGGTGATGCTTTTGATTGATTCATTCCATATCGTGATCCTGTTAGGTATCCGCAAAGCATCCATGCCTGTGAAACTCCACTTAAATGTCTACCATGAAGACTACCACACACGCCAATCCTACATCTGCTTATGCGACGAGGGTAGAGGCGGTGGCGCTCTCGTACCTCCAGGTAGGGGGGAGGGCACCAACGGTCTTGTAGTAACGGGAGAGCTGAAGGTAATTAGCGCGTGCTCCGGTACATGGCAAAGGCGAACTCGACTTACACGGTGGATACGGGACTCGATGAGAATGAGGCGGAACTTGCTGTCCTTGTCCTTGCGGTTGGTCTGGAGGTGCTTGCGGACGGCAACGGCCTTCTTGATGAGCATGTAGAGGTCCTCTGGGATATCGGGGCTAAGGCCTTTATGCGCAAAATGTTAGCCTAGACCAACAAATGCAGTTTTGTATAGCGCGCAGGTACTCTCGAAAGAGCAGAGCTGTGTCGACGTGCGCTTCATGTGTATAGGGCGATCGTACCGCTGGACTTGAGGATTCGGAGGATCTTGTTGCCAGTGATGACCTTGACCTGAGCGACACCGTGGCTGTCACGGAGGATCTCACCAATCCTGCGATTGTGTTAGTGCATCGTTCCCGAGTCCTTTTTCCGTGCGATTGTCCTTACTGAGATGGTGTAGCACCCTTCTTTGCGAGCTTGCAGATCTGGTCGACAACCTGCTCGGGAGTGGTCTTCAACCACGCAGGAGCGCTGCGGGAGTAGGGGATGGCGGAGGCTGATATGCCCTTTCCGTTGCTGTGAAGACGACCCATTTTGAATGAATGTTCCGGATGGCGACCTGGTCGATTAGTACGGAGGCGTGTGGTAGGCTTGGAGTCGTGATGGAAGTTCGCGATCGAAGTTCCAATTTCTCGCGGCTCGGCTAGGTCTGTGGTGGACCGTGCGGGTTAGCGTCAAACCTCCCATCGAAGAAAAAGTCGGCGACGACCGACCTCACCTTCTCACACCTCTCAATGTGAGAACATTGAACTTGGCACGCAAGCGCGACGGTCTAAAGGCTATGTTTGAGGCTAGACGAGTGCTTTGTGCAATGCCATCTTTACCCTGCCGAAGGTACTAACCATACAGCGCGACGATGGCTCTACTCTCCAGGTACGTACAATCATCACCCATCTTTCATCGCACAATGATGACAACCCTTACTATTTTCTGGTACCTCTTATTTTAGGCGGGTCCTCACGGGTCTGCCGGTGCATTCAACCTTTATTCTGACACGCGATCTCACCTCTTCTTGTTCTATGACACGTTTGTTGGCGACATGGGCTAACGAGAAGCAGATCTATATGGCACCGAGTCTCATCGTCCAGAGTGTTGGTAGGGTTCTTCAGTTCCATAGCTATGAATGAAAATTACTCTTTCCCATCATCAAACAACGTGCATGCGCTTTCCAATGAACTCTGCTCGTAGCTTCCATACGCTACATATCATCACGCCATAGCGGCATCCGTCAATGATGTTCGATCAATCAATGCCCTGTTCCATCACCACTACAACCCTACTCACAACATTTTCTTCTACATTGCGAACGCTACTCTAGCAACGCACTGCTCATACAATAATCACTTTCGAACATCCAACATGAAGCATACGATATTCAGCGCAGTTTTTCTTATTCCCTTCGCCTATGGCAAGACCTCCAGCGAGCTATGTCGCGGTACGGCCGAGCTGTCCTCAGATGGCAATTAGTACTGCTCTGAAGTCTGGGCAATCACCTATCGCAACATCAGTCAGCCTGGCGCCTACAATCAGACCACTATAGTTGATCCACAGACGGGTACCTGCGGTCATGAACGTGTTGCCTATCCAAGTACAGGAGAGTTGACACCCTTGTTTGGACAAGTATGGCCTGCCATGGGTTCTAGACGTTACATCACTGACAGCACCAGGTGTCAATGCACCTTCGCGGACCCATGAACGTCTCTCAGCTCGCAGTCTACCAGCTTCCAGACGAAGTGCATACAATGCAGAAGCGGACTACAGTGCCGTTTTACAACCGTCGTCGAGCATTGGAGCAGCGCGAAATACCAGTGATACCTGACACCACTGCCACTCCTACGCAGTCGTCGTCACTAAGCTGGTTCAATCGTCTGAACAAATGGACATATAGTACAACAACCGGTTGCACCCCAGCTACAGTGACATCGACTGTGACGGTAAAGGCAGCCTGTTCTTCAATTAGTGTCCCGCAGGCTGCACCGAACACGACTTATATAGGTCCTCCGCTGTCGTGTATGACTACGTCTGCTGCGGCATCGATAGCCGATCCCGCGTCTTCGGCATCGAACTGCACTTGCGACAATGATAGAGTCGATGATCCCATCTTTCAGAGGCCCAACGGACAGGTCTACGTCAGTCCAACCTCAGTATTGAGACCGACATCATTCTCAACACAAGATACATCACCAGTGTTTCAACGTCCCAACGAACAGCCTTATGATATCCCTGCGCCATTGCCATCGTCCATGGTGAAAAGGCAGGTTGCCGATTGGAGCCGCATTGCATACTACACGTCAACAGCACCGGCCCAAGCTACTGGACTCAGTTTCATGGCCAATCTGGGCGACCCCCAAAAGTCTGGTACTTTCGACTAGTAAGTCCTCCACAATTCTTGAAATATGGATGCTGAAGTCATCAGTGCCTTCGGAAACTCGCTCAGCTATGTCACTCCTCGAGGTGACAAGGTAGCAGCCGAGAGTCTACCATTCAACGGCATGCTTCAAACGTCTGAAACAGAAATCGTAGTTCTATCTGACAAAGAGTGTGACGCGGCCTGTCCATACTGGAGGCCAAACGCAACCTCTCACTACGGCTGGTCCGGCTCATCAAAAGCCTTCTTCATCGAATTTCAAATGGACCACTACCCCAACCTCGGCACAGACCAAGGCATGCTCTCCGATGCTCCAGCCTACTGGTTCCTCAACGCAGCCATCCCCCGTATCCTACAGTATGGCAGCGACCGCAACAACATCCCTTGCTCGTGCTGGTCCACTGGATGCGGCGAATTCGACGCCTTCGAGCTCCTAAGCAACGGCGCAGAACGAGCAAAGTCGACTATACATCGGCAGGGAAATTTGGAGGGCGGGGACTCGAATTACTTCAGCAGACCTGTTGGACAGACGATGAAGTTTGCGGTTGTGTGGCATTATCCGCATATTACAGCGTTGGTGTTGGACAACAAGTTTGACTTTTCGCAAAGCATGTCGGATGATGCGATGAAGAAGTTGGTGGCGTATGATCCGGATAGCTGGGTGCACTCGCTGTATGCTATTGGGGACTGAGGAGGGTGTTTTCTTGTAGGCGGTTTGTGATTTTCATGTGAAGGAATCATGTGTAACAACAGTAGGCCGAACAGGACAATTCAGGCAATTGGTTTTCTCTCATGCAATGCATTTCTAAGAGTTTCCTTGAAGCTGAAATGTGAGTGAGTTGAACTCTATGACTGGGGCAAACCTGTGGTCACTGCACAATCAGCATGTGGTGGAGACGGATTTGGGCGATGCAGCGGAGTGGGCCGACGATTGTAGCAGTGGAGTGGCAAAGTGGTCGGCGTGTGATAGGTGACGGTTGGGCTTGCCAAAGCGGGCACGAGAAACCGAGGTCTGTTCGCGCGACTCAGCGTCTGTGTGTGTGAAAGACGAGCCGCACCCCGGCCGACGACATTGCGCATTCACTCATCGCCTCCATCTCCATCTCGGTCTACGTACGACTCTGCATCTAGCCACATCGCCCTTATCACTGCTTGCGCGCGCAGTATCGGTCATCAGCCAAACGTCAAGGCGGATCCGCCCTTTTCGCGATTCCAAGCCCCGGCCGGCGCAGCTTCCCCGCAAAAACTCGCAGCGCTCGATCGCCGCGAATTGCCAGCCTCTCGACGTTTGCCGGCCTGCACATTGACGACATCCTCCATCATCTCTGCGAAGCAGCCTTCTTTTCTGCGCACACAGGCGCGGACGACGCACATTCGACAAAATGTCTGCGCCATCGCCGCCAAAGCCGTGGGAGACGAGCAACGGCGCGACAAGTGCCTCGGTCGGTCAGTTCCGCCAGCCATTCCATACGTCAGGGATAACCGCGACTAACAACAACACAGGCCTCACTGGATCGAATAGCACCACAACACCCACTTCGACGACGACATCCTCAAGTGCGCCTCCATTGCCGTCAGTGCCGGATTCCCTCAGCACCGTCGCGAACCGCAACGCGTCCAACTACTCCGGCATGAACAATCGCTATGGCTCCCCCTACAGCAGCGGATATGGAGGAATGAGCAGCTACAGCTCACCCTACTCCTCTATGGGCGGCGGCTACGGCTCCATGTACGGTGGCATGGGCGGTATGGGTGGCATGTACGGCGGCATGGGTGGCATGGGCATGGGAATGGGCGGAATGTATGGTGGTATGGGAGGCATGCCAGGCGACCCAAACAGCAGCCTCACACAATCATTCAGCCAAAGTACAGCGGCGACGTTCCAGTTGATTGAGAACATTGTCGGTGCATTCGGCGGGTTTGCACAGATGCTGCAAAGCACATACATGGCGACGCATTCGTCCTTCTTCGGTAGGTTCACCCTCCAGCTACAGCCAACCAAATGCTAACATGAACAGCCATGGTATCTGTGGCAGAACAGTTCGGAAACCTACGACAAACGCTTGGCTCGGTTTTGGGCATTTACACCATAATGCGATGGATAAGAACGGCGATTGCAAAGCTCACCGGACGACCCCTACCAGCCGATGCCACGGCCCTCACCCCCGCCAGCTTCGCAGCCTTCAACGGACGCATGCCCGACGGCTCACCCGCACCCGCGAAGCCCTCCAAGAAACCCTTCTTTGTATTCATGCTCGCTGTATTCGGTCTACCCTACCTCATGGGCAAAGTCATCAAGGCACTCGCGCGATCACAAGAAGCCGAGGAGCAACGGAAGATGCTCGAGAACCCGCAAGCCGGCCAACCGCTCGATCCCAACAAGCTCGAGTTCTGCCGCGCCCTCTACGACTTCACGCCCAACGCCAACATGCAGGGAATGGACTTGTCGGTCAAGAAGGGAGATATGGTCGCTGTGCTGAGTAAGAGCGACCCCATGGGCAATGCATCAGAGTGGTGGAAGTGCAGATCAAGAGACGGGCGTATGGGTTATCTCCCTGGTATTTATCTCGAGACTATTCAGCGAAAGACACCTGCGCAGATTACCAGTGGAAGTCAGAGCGGTAGTCCGGCTGGCAGCAGAACCCAGACGATGACCAACAGCAGCGATACAAGCAGGACTGCTACCATGACTGCAGTCAAGGCACCTGAGAAGGTCGGTCCGAAGGTTGAGAGCAAGGCGGGTGATATGGGGGTTGAGAGTTTCCAGAAGGGCGCTTTCTACTCGTAGGATTCGAGCGACGTTTACCTTTCTTATCTTTAATGCAATTTCCTGTAGGAGTGTACAGTTGGCTAGGCAAAAGCTACGGTATGGCGTATGGCGCGCAGAGATATCATGGGTCTATCAAGCCCGAATTCGAATATTCAACAAACTTCTCAATCTCAGCCTCTGAAGTGAATCATGAGTTAGTATATATGATTCTGAAGATAACCCAGGTAATCCATATCCAAAAAAAAAAAAAGTGGTGTCCAGACACTACAGCCGTCGTCTACCTTTGCCCTTGCATGTGCGCTTCGCAACGTCACCCAGCTCTCGGAACAAAGCCGAGACCCCGAGAAACGACAGGCAACGACCAGCCTGGCACATCTGGAACCCTATCACCTATTACCTTCGCACTCTCCTAGTCGCTCCTTTCAACTTCCACGACTACAATTTCCCTTCAATCGTAGTTCTAGGCTGCTACCGTTAGGCGTGCTGCTTGCCCCTCCCCCACCCAGTGCAGTCTCCAGGGTCGCAGCCTGTCTAGCTCCAGTCGCGAACAGCTGAGACACGAAGCAGACAAAGCACGCGTAACCACGACGTTGTCGCTGTAAACCAGATACCGCGAAAGAGGTTCTGCGTCTGTTCGCGCCTCTAAACCAGAGCTGAATTGAAGGAGGAGCGCTATTGCATAACTCAAGATGTTCGCGTCGAAACGGTTAGGCAAGGTATGTTTACCCAGTCTTGAGCGGACATGTAGAGGGAAGGAGAAGGCGTAAAGACAGATATATAAAGGGAGAAGAAGCTGACGTGTGTTATAGGAGTTGTCAAAGGTACCGAGTCCCTCTCATCGGTCGTCTTTGGTCGAATAAGTTCCTACCCACCACGCATTTCACCAAATTCACGCGTCCATGTGCCAAAATCTACACACAACCCGTGCCCACAGCGTAGAGTTCAAGGAATGACTACGGATACGGCTATGCAAGGACGAAATGATCAAGTTGCTGACGACGAGGACACAGATGCACGAGAAACTCCCTCCAGGCATAACGCTCATCCAGGCCGACGACTTCCAGACCTGGCTCATGGACATCCAAGTCATGGACGACAACCCGCTTTACCAGGGAGAAACATATCGGTTAAAGTTTAGTTTCACGCCACAGTATCCTATCGAGGTATGTCTCCCCCTTCCTCTCATACTACTTGCTCACCACCGCCCCATCCCCCACTCTGACCTTTTGACTCCTTCCATTATCCTTCTACGCCACATTCTCTTTTACCCCATCAACTACCAAAAACACGACTAATGCCATGTGGTATCGCAGGCCCCCGAAGTAGTCTTCGTCCGTACACCCACGCACCCTATACCCTGGCACCCGCACATCTACTCCAACGGCATCATCTGCCTCGATTTGCTCGACCGTTCCGGTTGGTCGCCTGTTCACAACGTCGAGAGTGTGTGTGTCAGTCTGCAGAGTATGCTTACGAGTAATACGAAGAAGGAGAGGCCGCAGGGCGATGAGAATTTCGTGAGGTATAATACCCAGCGGCCGAGGGATATTAGCTTTGTTTTCCATGATGAGAAGGTCTAGGCTTTGCTCTCATGGCAGGTAGACTATGATTAGGGGTGTGTGTGTGTGTGTGTATGTGTGTTCACGCTGCATGTGTGGGTGTTAAATGGCGTTTATGGTGGATACCGGATGGGGAGCATGGTTGAAATGATGGGATGTTACGACTCGGTTCGATGGATAGCTAGCATGCTTTTTGTCGATATCAATATCTTTACATGGAGTCGTTTGCCAGATCGAAGGATATGTGGCCAAGGGACCTGCTTCTCGTGACAAAACACGTATGCGAGAGGTCCTGGATCATATTTTACCCAGTGACATGGAGCTACAGAATACGTCGACCACTTTCCAGATGTATCTTCAGTATTCAGTACAACTGAAGGAACGTCCGCTTCATCACAGATGCAGACAATGAAACCTAGTATGACACTTGAAAACAGCTGATATATGTGTACTATCTTACAAGCTCGTCTATCGCTTTCGAATCAGACGTGCAAACACCCAGAACGCCATGCTACAGAAATGCCAACCATCTTCGCTACCATCTTTCATCATATCCATCATGCATTGCTCGGCCGTTATCCATGTATATCTTTCGCTCGTGCTCATCATCGTCTGCGTCTTTGTTTGTCATCATCAATGCGGGCCTCGTAGGTTACCTCGTATGTCTCCCACCTCCATCTTCGTCGCCACGATACATCATGATGCATCGTGTAAATCTCAAACAACGAGGCTTTACTTCCCCCCACTCCACCCCACCCCCAGAAAAGAAAGAAAGAGGAAACGGTAAAGTCAAAAGGAAAGAAACTATACTGCGCACATCATCCAAACGATGCCTCCTCGCATGTGCCTATCGAGACCTTCGTTCAGCAGCATACCCCACATTCGTCGAAACAGTCGTCTTCACATCCGTAATCACGCTGTTTGTGTCCCAAGTCCCCGCGTCGGAAGGACTCGTCTGCCTTCTCAGGTTTCTGGGTCTGTCGTGATAAGGTTTGTTTTGCGAGACAGCCGTTGCAGGCCCATTGTTCGCATGAGTAATCTCGCTGCTCGTATCCCAGGTACCGGAGTCGGAACCGTCGTCGGAGAAGCTATGGTGTTCATGCTGTTTCCTGAGTTGTTCGACTCGCTTGAGCTGCTCAAAGGGACCGGGTGGGTAGCTCGAGGGGGCGAGATCGCTGAATTGGCCGGTTGGATAGGGGACGTTGGTTGAAACGGTCGTGGGAGGGGGGCGGTGTGTGACTGTCGTCACCTCACTGCTGGTGTCCCAAGTGCCGGCATCGCTGCCGCTTAGCCTTCTCAGCTGGAGGGGTAGCACGTTTGAGTAGGGTACGTTTGTTGATACGGTTGTTGGAGGCGCGCGGTGGGTAGTGATCTCAGTATTCGTATCCCAAGTCCCGGTGTCGGATACGCCATCGTCAGACTCGTCCTCATCGGAATCGCTTGGTCTTTGCAGATATCGCGACATCTGTGTCGGGTATGGTACGTTGGTGGAGACAGTCGTAGGGGGAGCGCGGTGAGTATTGATCTCGGTGTTCGTATCCCAAGTCCCAGTATCGGAGACAGCATCGTCGTCATCGTAGACAGCCATTCCCCTTGTGTCACGAGGTGGTGGCATGGACCATCGTTCCGACGCGTCCATATGCTTCTCCATCGGATAGGCGACGTTAGTCGATACGGTAGTGGGAGGAGCACGTTGAGTGACTTCACTACTAGTATCCCAGGTACCGCAGTCGGAAATGCTTCTCGACCGCTTCAATTCCCAAGGCATTCCTGTCGGATAAGGAACGTTGGTCGATACGGTGGTGGGTGGGGGCCGAGCAGCAGAGATCTCAGTGTTGGTATCCCAGGTACCAGCGTCGGAGATGCTCCTCTGACGTCTGATCTCTCTCGACTCTCTCTTCAACTCTTTCGAGTCTCGTCTTGAGTCGTACGAGGAAGGATAGGGTGCATCCATCGTAATAGTGGTGGGTGCAAAATCATGAGTCATGATGCTGTTTGTATCCCAAGTGCCAGCATCGGAGATGCTCCTCTGTCTCCTGACCTCTCGCGAGTCTCTCTTCGACTCTCGGGATTCTCTTGATTCCCTCGATGATGTCGATTCCTTGGTAGAGTCCTTACTTCCTCTATCCTTGTTCCGCTCCCTCTTTTCACTCCTGGCTGAGTTCCTGGAGCTACCATGAGAACCCTTTATTGGAGTACTGGGATAGAGAGCCTTCATGGCAGCACCGCGGGTCTCATACAGATAGCGAGCCTTTTCACGCTCGGTTTTATCCGAGCGGTCACTCCTCTCCGTTCGATGGCTGCGGCTGCTCTTCTCAGTGCGCTCACTCTTTTCCGTGCGTTCACTCTTTTCAGTACGCTCGCTCTTATCAGTGCGCTCACTTTTGTCAGTGCGCTCACTTCTATCAGTGCGCTCGGTATCGGCAGACTTGGTCGTACGGATACTCGCAGCATACCCGCTCTTCCTGCGACTGATTTCTGGCCGAGGAGTGATATCAAATAGCTCGTCTTCCATGGCATGTTCGCTAGATCGACGCTTGTGCGTGGAGCGACGTCGTGAGTGCGTGGTGGAGGTTGACGTAGTCCGCGTGCGTTGAGGCACCAGTGTTTCAATCTCATCGATGGCATCAAAAAGATGAGATACCGTGTCTACCGGCGTTGGAGCTCGTGAATCCTCTTGGATCGTTTCTCCCGTTGTGGTGCGGGAAAAAGACGGAGGCAGAATCGCGCTTTCGACGGACGCACGATGGCGTATGGCTTCCGCAATCTCTGCTGCCGTTGAAGGAATATCGGGCTTTGGCTTCGGCGGTGGTGGTGGTGGCTTTTTCTTGGGACTTGGTGCGTGTGAGGGAGCCAGGCTCTCCACTGGCATACCAATAAAGTTCCTAGGCGACGTGAACACGGATGTTGGAGGCGCCGGTGGACGTGAGAACGTAGAGCCTGGAGGCGGAGGCTTTGGCTTGTCGTCCGGGAAAGGAGTAGAGAAAAGGTTCAATGCTCGCTCAATGGCCGAGAGCTTCTTTGGCTTCTCTGGCTTCTCGGCGATAGGTGACATTGGGCGTGATGCGGAAGATTCCTCAGCCGAATTCGTCTCGGTCTTCGTCGGAGATCGGGGAGCGGGTGGAGACGGAGGAGGTGGTATAGGGTCGCGGGGCGGCGGGCAGGCCTGAGAAACCGGTGGATTAGCCAAGTGATCTAAAGCAGTCTTTCCGTCTTACGTAGATCTCGTTATATCGCGAGCCCTTCAAGAGGCGAGGTGAATGAAGCGGTGAATCAAGCTCGAAAACGGTGCTAGGAACGCGGGGGTAAGGTGAACACGCGGGTGGTGTTACATACCGGCGGCGGAAACTTGCCCTCGTCAGTCGGACTCGTTAATGCAGTGGTATGGGAAGGCAAACCAGCAGATTTGAGCTCCTCCATTCTCGTCACGACTGGCTCTGCATCATCATACAGGGCCAATCCATGGTGGAGAATGCAGCCTTCGTCGCGCTCTTCGTTGTTCTGGAAGATCTCGTGCTTCGATTCGCGATAGACGACCGGGAAGATTCTAAGCAGTAGCTGTCGTTGCGAATCAGTAGGAGGGAGGCTATCGTCCGCCGAACCTGTCTCTGCCTTGTAAGCTGGCCAAAATTGGTTGCCGGTGAATTGATGTTCTTCATCATGTAGCGCAGGCATGACAGCGGTGATCATCTCGCGCTCGAGACGAGCAAACCTCCATGTCTCTGCAGCAACCTTGACAATGCGTTTCACGGCAATCTTGATACCTTCCTCCTCTTTCGGATCAGCAAAGTGTCGGATAGCATTGACAATCTCCTCCACAACAGTTCCCGCAGCAGTATTGATGCGCTGCTTCGCGCCGGTGCTGGTGAATGCAGCAAGGAGTGTTTGTTGTCGCCAGATCGCTTCTTTGCGCGTGCTCTTCTCGCGAATGTGGTGGCTCATTGAAGAAAACAGGGAATCAGCTTTGTCGTACCGACGACCAAGACTGAACAAGAACGGGCCGAACACACGGAACGTGATCAACTTTGATACAGTGTGGGCGATGTATGCAGCTCGAACTTGCCTGGATAGAAGACTCGGTTAGTATTTGAGGTCATGGTGTACATGGATTGATCTTTCTCACCTTGAGGCAATGCTATCGCCAAGGAATGATGGTAGGTTGGACGGTACTTGAGAAAGATCCTCCGGCGGTGGCCTTACTGGAAGGTGAACGAAATGGGTTGTAGCGAGGTCGATGATTTGCCTTTGGAGCTGAGAAAAGGATACCAGGCTAGACGCGATAGTGTTAACGGGTGACTCCTAGCATAACAGAAAGATAGGGGAGTCGCGACTGATGCGGAAGCAAGCATTGCGTTAAGGGGTTGGTGAACTCTGAAGACAGTGTATGGCAACACATGGTGGCTTCCAGCGTGATACCACAGCCGTCGGCCAGAAGATTCGCTGGACGGTCTCGATGCGCTCTTCGTTACCCAGGTTTGGGACGAGGAAGCAAATCGAAGCCGTTCGCAATCGATTCAACATCAGCCACGATGCGCTTCTGTCACCACCGTGGGGATATCATAAACAAATGTGCAAGACTGGATCACTTACTAGTAGCTGTCGCCCTTGCTCTTGATTTCGGCAATGTCACCATAACATTCCATCATCTTCTCCAGTCTGGATTTCTCCGACTCGAGGTTGTTGGCAACACTTCTGATGACCTCCTTCTCCTGTTGACTCTCGGCCTTGAGTTGGTTGTATTGGTTCATTAGCTCGTCGTTCTCTCTCACCAACTGATTGGCCCTCGCTGCTTCCTCTTCGGCTCTCGTTTCCGCTTCATCTCGTTGCTTCCGTAAGTTGTCGCGCTCTTCAAGGGCTTGCTGGAGCTGAGACCTCAGCTCAGATGCATTCTCGGCATCTTGACCAGCTTGCTTCAACTTCTTGTCGAACTGGATAGCAAGGGCGATCTTCTCGGCATCGTGTTTCGTGATTGTGGCGGACTTCCACTCGTCGAAATCCCTCCACGCCCTTTCCCTCTCTTC